AAGTGAAGCCTACTCCCAATTACCTGCTGAGGAACGATTATGTACTTACTCAGTACTTAACCATTACTTATGTGTTGTTACATGGCCATTTACCATAAATACATTGAGCTCATTCACACATCATTTTCTTTCATCCTGTGTGTGGTAATGTTCCAGAGAAGGGTGACCAAAATCCTGCAGGTTACAGTGTTACCTGGCTCAAATCAATCACTAACAAAATGTTCAGTTTTTAAGGTACTTTTTTAAATAATCAGAAAAGTACACAAAAATTAACTTTTACATTTAAAATCTTTGAAATCAACATGTAAAAACATTGTAAAACTACCCATTCTTCCCTGCTTCATCACTCAGTACCCTTTAAGTCGTTCCCTAGTAACAAAGCACAAATAGATTAGGGATGCACCGATGGATCGGCATTTGATCCCAATCGGCCGATAGCGCCCCTATCGGTTTTGATCGGAGTTTTCAAAATAGATCAAAGCAGACCGATCAGCCCATTTTAGATTAGGTTACATTTCCTTTATTCCCAGATTATCACTCATTATAATGTTGTAGAAAATTTATGGCAAATCCACATGATCGGTATCGGTGATCGGTATCGGTGATCGGTATCGGTGATCGGTATCGGTGATCAGCATTCTTTGATATCGGTATCGGTGATCGGCAGCAAAAAACCTGATCGGTGCATCCCTAATACCTATTAGTCTCTGAATAAGACTGCTGGGTGTTTACCATTAAGTATTGGTTAACTACCTATTAGACCATGGAACAAGACTGATTAAGTTCAGTTGTCCATTTGAATATGTGGAGTTAACTAGATCACAGGTTTGTGCATCAAAATCCAATTAATCAATAATATTTTATATTAGCTTTAAAACAATCTTTAGTTTCTAAGGTGTTCATGTGTACAAATTTACTGCATAATTCTGCAACCAATACAACCAAAAATAGCCCAATGTACACATCACCAAAACAAAACACGCCATACAAGAAATTTAAGATAATAAAATATGAAGGAGCTAAATGCAAAAACTTCCCCGGAAGAAAAAATTCCCCTAAACTGTGTTCACCACTCCAGTGTGAGAAGTCCTTTTGAATTTCATCTGACAAATTGTCAGTAACAGCCTATATGTCTTGAAAATAGATTGCAAAGTTAAGCGTAACACCTACTAAATCAGCTCTTAATGTGAGTAAAACATGTTAAAGTCAGCTGGATGTGAAGCGCCTCGTGCCAAAAAAAAAAAAAAAAACAGGATCAAAGTTTAAAACAACTTTCCACTTTAAATCCGGCAAATCGCTGGATGAAAGTTCAGTTCCAACCTGAGAAACGTGTAGCCACGCACAGAATGAGTTATATGAAGATAGGGATGTGTTTCAGTGAGTTAGCAGCCGTTTGTTTTTAGCAGGATGCAGCAGCGGTTAGAATAAGTGCGGCTGGCTCCGACAAGAAAGCTGGCAAACGCAGGGATGTGGAAATGTACGATGAGAGCGCTGCCTGAGGTTTTACAGTTTGACTGCATCCATGAAGAAATCTAGTCTGCGTGTGATGGTGAGAAAAGATTTTTATCTCTTTGGAATGGTTGGAGAATATTCCACTGCAAATTAGCCTTGATCATAAAGCTGCCGGACAACTTAGATTAAAATAAAATGTAACAAAATAAAATAAAAACTATTCTGGACTAAGAAACAACATTAATATTCTGTTATGTGTGTTCATGTGTCAGAGAGTGTCGGAAACCAAAGCTTAATGTGTAAGTCGCAGACAAAATCTGCAACTTTCAGTTGCAAGACAAGTTCAAGCAGCCATTTATCTTCCTCCACTTATCTGGGGTCGGGTCATGGGGCCAGCGGCCTAAGCAGAGAGGCCCAGACTTCCCTCTCTCCAGCCACTTGGGCCAGCTCCTCCGAGGGAATCCTAAGGTGTTCCCTGGCCAGCCGAGAGACATAGTCCCTCCAGTGTGTCCTGGGTCTTTCTTTAGGTCTCCTTCTTGTTGGACGTGCCCAGTAGACATCACCAGGGAGGCGTCCAAGGGGCAACTGCTTTCTCTTGACGTGGAGGAGCAGAGGATCTACTCCGAGCCCCTCCCAGACAACAGAGCAGGGTGGCTAAAGGAGAGCCCAGCCACCCTGCAGAGAAAGCTCATTTGGGCCGCTTGTATCTGTGATCTTGTTCTCTCGGTCACTGTCCAAAGCTCGTGACCACACGTGAGGGTAGGAGCGTAGATTGACCGGTAAATCGAGAGCTTTGCTTTACAGCTCAGCTCTCTCTTCACCACAACAGACGGGTTCAAGCAGCCATTTGTGACAAATGCATGCTCACTGGACCGGCGGTGCCAGTGTTTGGCAGCCTCGCCTCTGTCAGTGCGCCTTAGGGCAGCCGAGGCTACATCGTAGCTCATCATCACCAGCGTGTGAATCTGTGTGTGAATGACTGATTGTGCTGTGAAGCGCCTTGGGGGGTTGCAGAACCCAGAAGGCGCTACACAAATATAGGCCGTTCACTCTCTTGGTTTTGGATGAACTTATAAAAATATACATATTGTGTTAAATCGAACAAATCAGAAGATTGAGATTTTACACTGAGTTCTAAAAATGAAGTAAAATGCAGTTTAAACCATTTTAAAGTGGCAATGTGTAGTTTTTACCATTAATCTCTGGAAATATCCATCAAAATGTGGTTGAAAAGGAAATAAATGATGTCCAGTTGTTGAAAAATATTGACTGCTTTGTAACATTTAACCATAATTAGAGTAGAAGGAGTCACCGCTCGTCTGAGAAAGGTGCTGGATCAAAAAGTGGAATAAACAAAATAAGAATCGGCACACTTCAATCTGCGATGTAGGAGTTTATTGGTCAAGAACCGAAAGACCGAAAGCTTGACCGATAAACTCCTACATCGCAGATTGAAGTGTGCGGATTCTTATTTTGTTTATAACATTTAACCATACAAATTGGGAGCGAGTCTAAGGGTGTTTCTCAATACTAAGGAACCTCGCCTTGATGTCTTGGCCCCGCCCCGGTTGCCTAGGAGATACGTCATCAGGAGCTGCCAAGGCGTGTTCCAATGTTCATGTTCTACCGAGGCGTGTGTTCTCCATTTGTTAGCCGTTTAGCTAGCTGAGCAAGGATACACGGGGGGTGTCTTTTAGCCTAAAATTACCCAGAATACACCAGGGTATTTTCAAAAGGATGGCAGATCAGAAGCTGGCAGCTACTTCGGGGACAAATTTCAAGTTTAAAAGTAAGACAACTAATTTAAAATGTTTTATTAGATCCAAAGAAGTTATCTATGGTTGGTTAGTTGCTTATTAGTTGCAGCTTCGGTGGCTAGCGGGCAGTAACTCACTTATACATAGAATTTAATAAACATATACACAATTTAAAAAGTAAAAGGCTTGTTATATATTTATACTGAAACTAATACGTATAAAACATAACGTTATCTCCTGTGTCACGTGACATTACGCGACCACCGTGGAAGCCGTGGTCACGTGATGCAAGTCTGTTCCATTTAGCCGTTTTCTTTGACCAAGGAAGGACAGTGTCCTCGTAAGCAAGGCGCCTGGCCTCACGAGACATCGCCTCGCAAGGCCAGGCGCCTTGACATTGAGAAACACCCTAAGTCTCTGGGTGACGCCATTTGACTCCATGTTTCCTCCTATGGAAGCTCATGAGGACAAAGCACATGTACTAACTTGTAACAAGATGTTACCAAACTTTCGCCCGTCATGAACATTGTTGTTTTACACTTTACCTCTTCGCTTGTTACCAGCGATGAAAGGTTGAAATACTCGTTTGAAAATGACGCTCCCAGCTATTTTCGACCCTAATGGCCATCCAATGGGTAAGGTCTTAACTCAAACATGTAGGTTATATAAAGGGGAAAATCGCCAAAGCCATAGGTGTATTATATAGAGTTAAGTTTCTACTAAATTTGTTGGGGTTGTTAACATTATATCACTCACTGATTGAACCATATTTATTTTATTGTTTAGAAATTTGGGGAGCCACTTGCAAAACTTTTACACAACCATTGTTCATTTTGCAAAAAAGAGCATTGAGAATCATTAATAACAGTAACTATAGAGATCACACTAATCAATTATTCATTAGATACAAAATACTGAAATTTCCTGACTTGGTAGAGTGGAAAATATTGCAAATAATGTACAGAGCGAATACGAGTAATCTACCAACTAATATTCAGAAAATGTTTCATAAGAGAGTAAGTGGGTACATGTTAAAAGGAACTGATGTCTTTAAGAAACCTAGATTCAGAACAAAAGTTAGGGAATGTAACATTTCTGTAAATGGTGTAAGATTGTGGAATGCCATTAACAAGGAACTTAAAGAATCAACTACACTTGCTATATTTAAAAAATGTATAAAATCTAATGTATTTAGTAATTATGAAAAGGAGAATTATAATGTCAAAGATTAGACGTGAAAATATTAGAAAGTTACTGAGGTTATACTGTGTTTGTTTGGCGGATAATTTTATTTCATAAAAAGGGGCAGAAATCATAAGATTTTTTTCTTCTATCTGCTCCTTTTCATTCAAATGTTTTTTTTCAATATGTTAATGTATCCTGTATTTGTTTGTGTTTATTTTATACATTGTGAATGAAATAAAAGATAAAAAAAAAAAAAACACAAAAACTTCCCCCATTGCCAGGGAAAATATACACCGTCGCTTCAAAAAGCACAAAAGAATATTTTGACAACCTTTTTATTGTTAAAAATTTTTGGGGGAAAAAAGGCAATTGGTAAAAGAAAGTTGTCAAAACACATTCAGCGGCGACTCCCTCACTGGGCTGAAAGGAGGCAGAATGCATTAAATAAACTAATCCTATCACTTTTCTGTCTACTGCAATTAAACTATTTCACTTTTTTGAAAACGTTCAAATCCTGTTATCAAGTATACCAATTTACAAAGAGCCGTCCAATCATAACAGAAAAAAAACACTTAACTTTCTTCTATATTATTTGTTTTCTTGCAGGTAAAGACAGTTCAGGTCTGACCGACTCTGATTTGGCCCCGGACTCAGATCCACCTGGAATGGACACCAGATACCTGAGTGTGAAGGATCAAGGAGGGAAGGCGGCCTCTGATAGGTCGCCAGGCAACGACTTAGGTAGCTCACTGGACAAAGCGGATGGTGCCGAAACCAACAAAGGCAAGAAGAGACGAAATCGCACCACCTTCACCAGCTACCAGCTGGAAGAGCTGGAGAAAGTTTTCCAAAAGACGCACTATCCTGACGTTTACGCCCGGGAGCAGCTCGCGCTGAGGACTGACCTGACAGAAGCCCGCGTGCAGGTAACACAGGACAACAACCAAGATTCAGAGCAGCACGGCATACTTTTGTTTTTCACTTTGGTAGTGTGGTGTTGGCTCAGGTTGACCGTTAGGTTTGATAAAAGGTCTCTGTCAGAGCAGATCAGGGTTTAAACAACACAACCGCCCAGATTCTTCAGCATCTGCAGCTCTGCAGAGATAAAGTCACTCAGGACAACACAGGAGATTTATCTGGAAATGTGGGAGTCAAGAGAGGGAGAGAGTGGGGGAGTGAGTGGGAGCTTACAGAGGCCAGGGGGGGCCCGGGGGGCCTCGGGGGGTGTGGGGGCTGAGGTCTGAGCTGCCTGGGCCTCATATGTGCAGTTTAAAGGGAATGGATTTCCATCTGCATATGAGTCTGCTTGGAACGATCCAAAATGGCTGCATCCCTTTTCAGTTAAAACATTTAGTTTTCTGAGGTTATTTCAGTCTGTGACCTTTTGACCTTTTGAGAACATTTGCATGCAAACTGGTCACGACTGCAGAAATGTGCTCCAGCGTCCAGGAACCGAGAGACCTCCACAGTTTCACCGTGTGCAGCATGCGGACAAAGACCAAAGCTCCTGGATTTTCTGTGTTTGTCTTTCATTAAAGTCCTGTTCGGACAAGAATGTGTCCCTGCTGTGGTCTCCAGTAGGTGTGAAACCTTTTCCACAGGTTTCGACTGGTCTACGTTTGATGCATCTGGGTTATTTCAAAGCTTGTTTTTTTTTAACTCATTATTTAAAGAAATAAAAACAACCCATAAATTAGAATTATACCGGTGAGCAGGGATGGGAGAAGAAATCGATCAAAACTCGATCCACAGCCCGGCGAGTTGCAGAAAAAACACAGGAAGTCAGCTCGGTTACAGGGTTATAACTCAGCCCCGAGGCTCTGAAGGTATGCCGCTCGGCTGTTCGTGCTATCGCAGACCTGCCTGCTTCAGATGGATGCAGCTTTACAGCCGCCGGCCCTCCCGGCGGCCCTCTTAAACACTCAAGTCGAAAAGATAAAAGGCACGAGATGCCCTGTCAGTCAGAGGAGAAGCGTTCTTTCCTCAGGTCATTCACACGCACAGACGCAGCCTCGCAGCTCAGCGGTTCAGCATCTGGAGTGGAGAAATGTAAAGAAAATGGCTCAAATGCATCCTTTAAAACAAAGGCTAACTTTTAGTTTGTTACCAGAGAGGAAGTAGGAACTCTCAGTTAAACAGCGGCAGGACTCAGAGTTGTTTGCTTTTTCAGTCTCGGGGTTTCAAAGGAAAAGGGCGAATTCAGATCTGAGTCATATACACTACACGTGAAGGTCAGGGGTCAGGGGTCGAAGGGTTCCGGTAGCATCACATCCCTCAGATCTGCTGCTCTGATAGTCCAGAGAGCCGAGATGGCATCAGATGTGGGAAACGCAGGTGTCCCCGTGAGTTTACGGATGAAAGACGAGACGCTGCTCTCACCCACTGAGAGACAAACACTCACAGCTCATTTTCACAAGAACCAGTCCGGAAACGTCTGCGTTTAAAGTCTTTTATAAAGGTTTGCTTGTTATTTTTTTTTATAGGTGGAGGGAAAACACGTCGGAGAATGTTTGAGACAAAGTTGGGATCGGGATAAAAAATGGGATGCTGAATTTGCACAACCTGGTTTTGTCGAATGGTTCTGCTAAAGTTGTTTAAATAAAAACATGTAAATACATGTAAAGGTTTTATTGTGTGTTGTATGTGCATACATGTATTTTAACTAGGTTTAGTGGAACCAGTGGACATAATTCAGTTAGGTAACGTCAACATTTTATTTCTTACAGTGTGCAGATGGACAAAAAACACCTTTAATCATTTTTATCACACATTCGAGTCCTTTTATAATGCCCATTATGTCAAACTCTATTTACTGCATTTTTTCTTTTCTTTTTTTTTAAACGACTTTCATTAATTAGAAACATCTTTGTCTTTAGCTGCTGTGTTTTGTGAGATTTTTCTGTGACAGAAACAGAGCTGAAGGACATTTTTATGCTAAGGTTTTATCCCAAACTGCCCACAGTGCTGCAAATCCTGCACTGAAAATTCATTTATCATCTGTCAACTAACCTTTCAGTGGTTCTAGAAGTTTTGTGATGAAGGATTTTAGGAGGAAAACCGAACAAACGCACATATAAAGAACATAAACACTGTGGAGAGATGTTTCAGCTGTATTATTAGTGCTTTAGGGGTGTTAGAAAACTAAATCCAGGCTCAGTCTCAGGTTTTTTTTTTTTTTTTTGCTTTGGAGGCTGAAATGAGTGACAGCAGAGGCGGGTTATCAATCCTCTGAGCTGTTCTCTCACTTCAAAGTGTTTTGGGCCCAGCACCGCTCTCCTACTGGGGCCAGTTTGGTATTTCTCTGCTCTTTCTCTCTGGGGCAGTAACATAAATAAAGCCTCATTGAAAAGTCCACCAGCTACTTAAGCTGTCAAGGTCTTTACCAATTACTGTCACGACGCAGTGTGTGCAGCACAAAAATATGTTATCCCTGTATAATGGCCAACAGACTCAGAACATGGCAAAGAACTGATGCACTCTGGGAAACACCTGACATTTACTGAAGCATTTTAAAAAACAATCTAAGAGAAACTTGCCATGCACAGGATTCAGAAGCTTGAGTGCAACAGTATAAAAACATCAAGGAGGGAGGGATTATGTTCTCAGATTAGTGTGCTTCCTTAATTTAGCAGGAAATGGTCACAAATCCAGAAGATTCAGGCGTCAGGAAATTAAAAAGGAAAATGCAAACAAACCCAGGTTATAATCACAGCTCACTTTTCAATCTCCACAAGTGAAGCTCCCCCGACACACGTCCAACGGATGGCGGCGTCGGGAGCTGAAAGCAAACGTCGAAATTTAGACGTTTGGGTTTGCTGACTAACACAGCAGATGGTTCCTAAATCCCACCAGAACCCAATTTATTCTAATTACTTTCACGTTCTCTGCTGGTAAATGCAAACATACAAATGGCTCCGGTAAACACAGTCAGTTAGAGATGTCAAAGGTGTTTAGAGAGGAGGGAAACGCGCACGCTGTGGACAAGCAACAAATAAACCAAGAGGAGAAAGTTGTAAACCTCGAGTGAAAAGAAGGATGGAGTGTCTACATCTCAGTCAAAGTTGTTTTACTATAACTAGAAAAGTCTTGTGCTCCTATTTCTAATATTTTTGCTTGACAGCAGACCTCCAGATGAAAGCTGAGATTGTCTCTAAAATAAACGGCCAACTGTTGCCGCTGATTTAACTAAACATGGCTGTTTGGATGTTGCAGGTTTGGTTCCAGAACCGAAGAGCAAAATGGAGAAAGCGAGAGCGCTTTGGCCAGATGCAGCAGGTCCGAACGCATTTTTCCACCGCTTACGAGCTGCCGCTTCTAACGCGCCATGAGAATTACGCACAGGTACAGACCTCTGTGGCATGCATGTTAGAATCTCGAACTTTACAGCTGGCATCACCACATGTGCTGCTGGGTGCTAATGCTAAACTAACAAACTGCATTTCCCAATTGCAAAACACACACAGGGCACTTGTATGTCAACAGAAACAAAATGTTCAGTTGGCTCACAGTGCTCAAGTAACATTTTCCCAACACAATGTTTTCACTCTTTTGTTTTTTTTTTTTGTTTGTTTTTTTTTTTACAATTATCTGTGTCACAACCTTTCACCTTTGGTCAAAAGCCTTTTTCGTCCACGTTTGGATGTTTGGCTGCAACGTTCGGCTGGGCTCCTTTGTTTACCCGGCTGACTCCTGAATAACTCCACGCACATCTGTGACCATGGCTCGTCATTCTCAGACGTAGGACCTTTCCCACCTGCAAAATGTATGGAACAAATATAGTCGCGTAATTGTGTGACTTTGGAAAAGGGATAAAAGAAAAACGCCCCATCCAACTTTGATCAGGGTATCTAACCGGGTATATTTTCACGTGTCTGAGCAGAACCTCCCTGAACCATCTACAGGTGGTTCAGAATGCCTGTGCTCGGCTTCTGACCAAGTCCTTCAAACACACCCACATCACCCCGCTTCTCCTCCAGCTTCACTGGCTGCCGGTCAACTTCAGGGTTCATTTCAAGATCCTGGTTCTGGTCTATAGGGCCTTACATGGACAAGCACCAACTTACATTGGTGATCTTCTTAGTCCCTACACCCCCAGCAGGTCCCTGAGGTCCAGTGATCAAAGCCTACTGGTTGTGCAGCACCAGGCTAAAGACCAAAGGTGACAGATCATCTGCTGCTGTGGCCCCCAGATTCTGGACCTCTCTCCCCCTGAGCCTGAGATCAGTGGACTCAGTGGTCTCCTTTAAAAAGCAGCTGAAGACTCACTTGTTCAAGCTGGCTTTTGTATGACCTTCTTCACCACTCTCTCTTTGTTCTGCTCTCCCCACCTATTCCACCTTCCTCCGGATCCACTGATTTCCCTCTTTCCTGTTCACTCTCTCTCTTTCTTAACATATTTTAATCACATTTGCCTATTTTTTGCTCATTTTAAATACATTTTAAATATTTTCTAAATTCTTTTTTATACTTTTACATTTTTTGCTTTTGTGAAGCACCTCATGATTTTTATCTTGAGAGGCGCTATAGAAATGATCTTCTTCTTCTAACGTCCGATTTGCACAACCCCCAGCAGCGGTGACTAGTTCCTTCCCATTTCAACATCTTTAGGAGACAAAACTACAAATTTGTCATCACCGTGTAAGGCACTATTGGTGGAAGAGAAATAAAATACTATTAAAATGCAGTGGTGCCCTCAGAAAATGGTCATTGGAGAACAAGTGAAAATTTTTGGGTGGAACACCAAATTGGTCCCTGTGGTAACTCTGGGAGCATTTAGCCCAGGGGTTGGTAATCCTGGTCCTTGAGTGCCGCTATCCAGCACATTTCAGTGGTTAGATCACTTGTTCAGCAGCCAATATATATATATATATATATATATATATATATATATATATATATATTAGGGATGTAAGAAAATATCGATATATATATATTAGGGATGTAAGAAAATATCGATATGGCAATATATCGTGATATTTTTCCCAGCAACATTATATCGATATTCAAAAGCTGTGTATCTAATTCCTGAAAGAATTTACATGCAAACATTTGTGTATTTTCTTTTCGTTTTACGCAATTCAATCGCCACCCGCTAGTTGGCAGCAGTGTGCAGCGGGTTTTGTTTCCGCCACTGAAATGTAAATCCCTCCATCATGGTTCAGATACCTCAAGTTAAACATGTTATGTATCAGTTTGCACTGTTTATTGAACATTCTTACAATAAATTCAGTAAAAAAATTGCTTGTAACGTCTGACTGAATGTATCGCAATATATCGTGATACATCGTATCATCTACCCTGTATCGTGATATGTATCGTATCGCCAGAATTTCAAAAATACACATCCCTAACACATATATATATATATATATATATATATATATATATATATATATATATATATATATGAATAACAATTTTCTAAAGGTGTCCATGGCCCCCCTGGCCACCCCGTTGGGGGCGCCACTGTTAAATGCAATGCAAAATTAAACAAAAGAACTCAGATGTTTGTCTACTTCCTTTTTGCCTGTTTCAGATTCAGAACCCTTCCTGGATCGGTGGCAACAGCGCTGCGTCTCCTGTTCCTGGTTGCGTGGTGCCTTGTGACACCGTGACCCCCTGCATGACACCTCATCCCCACTCTGCCAGCGGCATGTCTGACTTCCTGGGCGTACCGGGCCCCGGAGGCCATATTGGACAGCCTCACATGGGCAGCCTATTTGGTGGAACTCCCGGCATGGCCGGGGGCATCAACACGTACGATCTCAATATGGACCCTGATCGCAAGTCCTCCAGTATTGCCACTTTGCGCATGAAAGCCAAAGAGCACAGCGCTGCCATTTCTTGGGCAACATGATGTGTGAATGGACGCTAGATGGGGGGAATCTCGTGCTCACCCAATGAGGAGTAAGTCAAAAATCCACAGGAAACCGTTACTACATCACAAATGCTGCAAAAAAATGCAATGAGAATAAAATATGACACAGGAAGTGACACCTCCCCTGGAAGAAAGCAACAAGAGTACGCTGACGACAGGCAAGAGAAGATGCTAAAAACAGTGATCAAAATAAATCCGTGCACTAATTTACCCAAATACGTTTTTAAAAACTCCTTTTTTCTCTTCAGTGGTTTCAGTGTGAGCAGGTGTGGCGCTGTTCTACTCCTTTATTTAAATTTGAAATGCTGTGTTTCTTCTTTCCAGTTCAGCTTGTTGGTCAGGTGAATCAAATGTTTTTGCCTAAATAACACCAGAGTTAGAAACCCAGCTGCTGCACAGGCTCAGAAAGTGAGAGGTGCTCAGCAGGTTCTTAGGACCTGAGACAGTAGCGGCCCCAGACTGCATCCTCCTGCACCTGCACACCTTTTAAAACAACCCCATTACATTTTTCTTTACGGTGAGTTTGCTGACCGAGCTGTGGCTGAAAGTTTGCATGAACGAGTGTGTTTCAACAGGTTTGGGCATTTGATTGACCTCTAAATTTCCAACTAAATCCTTATCTAGTCCTCTGGAACAACATAAATAAATAAAGCGTCTGATGTTTAGTTAAAATGTTGCAGAAACAGATAGATTGCTGCAGATTTGGTTGTAGTATGTGGTCGAGCTAGTACCGTAATTGCTTTCTAGGTTTTTAAATGAAGGGTATTTGAATTGTTGCCACTGAGGCACACATTTTATGTTTCTAGACTCACGTAAACCAATTTAGTCCAATTTGAGTATTTCAATAAGAAATCCAAAGCAAAACATTAATGAGAATAAATAATTGTTTAAGTTGTTTTTGACACTCATTAATGTTTATTATTATTTATTTAGCTCAGGAGGTAGAGTGGGTTGTTCAGTAATTGGAAGGTTGCAGGTTCAATCCCAGCTCTGCCAGAGAATGGCGCTGTAGTGTCCTCGGGCAAGATGCTTAACCCACCCTGCCGGCTGGTGGTGGTCGGAGAGACCGGTGGCGCCTGTGCATGGAAAGCCTCCTCTGTCAGAGTATTGAGTACCACTGATTTAGACTGTAGAAAACTCTGATTTTCTTTTTGAATCTTCCAAAACTTTGAATTCTTGATCCGTTTTCGGCATAAAATGAAATATCAGTGAAGCTGATTTATTTATTTTGAATTTTGTGTTGTCACCTCAAAAGAGAACAGAAGATGCTTTGCAAAATGCTCTAATGAAGTGAACGAAGTACAAATTTAGTGAGAAGCATCAGTAAATAACCTAAATGTTGATTTTTTTTCCCACTTTGAATATTAGAATTTGATTTAATCTTTTAAAGCATTTAGATTTATTGGTTTTCCCATATTCTGCTTACCGCTCATTGGTAAAAGTTATTCTGACCATTGAATTATTCTCATTCAGGGATTCTGCAGAAGAAAAACTTGAACTTATCCTCATTTTTTTTCTTTTTTGACTTGATTTCTGAAATAATTTAAAAGGTATCCTTAAAAAAGGTCAAACGTTATCTAAATATTCCACCTGTAGAGGCTGAATTTGTCCTGATATTCCTCGTCGACTAAACTTTAGCCCTTCAGTATCACCAGATGATCTGTTTTCTTAGCAAATCCTGACTTAGGCCTGAAGCTTTTCATGGTCTCATAAAGTGAATCTGACCTTTCTTAGCTCACCTCAAGGCGGAGCTAATTGCCTAAACTGAAACACATTCACTTTCCCATTTGGTGGGTCGGAACAGCAATAACCTGTCAGCAAAGCAGATCCGTCTGAAGTCGCACAAATGACATCAACGCTCCTGTCCAAACACAAGGCATGTGCACTCGTCAGAGGAGGGGGGTGCTTCTCCTTACCAGGGTGAACATGGGGGCCCTCTGTGCTGGATCTGAGAGGTTGGATGGAGGGCGAGCTGTGAGGGCGTCTGCTGTGTTCCGGTGTTCTGGGAAAAGGACAGTGCACACAGCTGCGCTTGGGGGGGTAAATGCAAAACAAACATGCCTCACACATGCTTCCCCCTCAGCTGTCATGGCTCTGCTTTCAAAGATTCAGCCCCTACGTCTCCCTGCGCTCACTTCCACCATCCACCCAAAGCTGCAGCCGCTCAGCTGCAGGGTCGGAGGCACAGCCGGCCCGGGAAGGATTTTTAATTAACCCTGAGCCATGTGGAGGCTGCAGAGCTCAGTATTGAGTGTCAGGATGGACAGGGCCGTCTGTCTTTGGTTTAAACCGAACACACACACCCCAACACTGCTTACACAAGTCAGTATTGTCATTTTTCACATTAATTGAATCTTCGTAGCTCCTGCGTTGAAGCACTTCCGCTCTGTGCAGCGTCACGCCACCCTCCAATGATTACATCATCGTCCATTTTCTAATACTACTGAAGTCACGCACTCAGTTTAGGAGTAAAGATGTAAAAATGAACTGTGCTGGTGCATCGTTGTGCATGCAGAATGGATTGAAGTGTCATAAAACCTTTGAGATTGTTACTAATTTGATGCTGTTGTATTTTTATGAAGTATTTGAGTATATTACTTTCCTTTAAAGTTGTATTTGTTAGCGATGGGTTTGGATTTAGTTTTCTCATGATATATACATCTTTTTGTGCTGGTGTGTGTGGCTTTAAGCTGCTTTTTGACTGAAAAGAGTACAGATCTGCTCACGCTTTTGTTTTTGTGGGAATAAAGTACAATAAGTTATTGCACTTTGGTACTGGATTACTTTGTTGAGAGGGGAAGCAGCGGAACACAAAGGTTTGCTACAAACAGTCAAATCAGAGCTCCCCTACCTCATATAAGCTTTAAAAAAAACAAAACAGGCTGTTGTCATATTAACGTTAAAATCACTTATCGCTAAATCCTTTTCATAAAACCACCTAAAGCCACCAGCTGGGTCATTTTAGCCAAGAAGTTGTCAAAGCGCATTAAAAAAAGGTTTAAATTGCGCACCATCTTGTTCCTTTGCGCTGCTTAGCCAAAAGTTGTGTCATCCCTAGTCTCATTTTGGAATGCTGAAGCGTTTTGAGTCCCTTTGAAGGGACACCAGCGCTGAAATGAGATCTCACAACCAGCCAGAGTGTCAGACTAATTGAAGCTGACAAAAGTACGAACTGCCCCCTTTTGAACTGCTGACACTGAACAGAGTGGATTAGGCGGCGTATATTAACAGCAGGTGACAGGCTGCAGGGAGCGATGCCAGAAACAGTCGCTCACAGCTGAAACTAAACACAGACATTAAAAAAAATAATAATGGAAAGAGCGTCTCCTTCTGATCGCACGCAATAAGAAAAACAACAAACCTTCAGGGACATATTACGGTTGTCTTTACTTATTGCCACATACACATGATGCATCATTTCACTCAAACATGAACAACGACGTGAAAACAATATCAAAAGGAGAATAAAAAACAGCAAAAAGGCAATGATGCGTTTTAAAGACTGTGTGGTTTTTACAGTCGTAATACTGGACAAGAAATGACTGCAGACAAAAAAACAAACTGGGAACAAGTAAAAAAAAAAAGTTGACACCAATTTGCTTCTAATATTAAATACACAATGTGGTCAAATGTAAGGCAATATGCTGATGAAGTGCTTGCTGTGACTGAAATGACAGGATGCTTTAAGCAACGTGATTGCTTCTCTTTGATGCATTTATGCAGAGATATCTATATAAAACGCATTTGTGGGCAATAAAAAAGTACATTTAAAAAGATTCCAGTAGCTCAGATATGTTTTTGTGTGTGTCAGGATTCAGCAGTTACTCACTCCTCGTATTAGATTTACGACACCAGCTTCGTCTAACGGTCCAGCGTGATTGTGTAATAGAGAACACGTTAAAGAAAGACTGTACAACATCTGTGTCGCATCACAATCCGTCATCCCCGAGAATAAAGCCTACATAGATATGTCAGAATCGTTCATCACCCGTTTATTACTTTAGTCGTTTTTATATAGCACAGATAAAAAGATGCACGTTTGTGTCATATTTTCAAATGGGAGACGAAAAAATGAAAGAAAAGTGTTATAAGTTATGCCTATCATACAGCTCTCCTGCAAAATATAAATATGTACAACATGCAGGCTGAATGGAGAGCGGCTGGAGGCTCAGGTGTTTCGCTCTGACGCAGTAATGGCGAGTGAGATAACGTCGACCCCATCGGCACCTCGAGTAACATCGACGTTTGGGAATATTAACAAGCTTTCTTCTGCAAAATGAAACTGGCTTAAACGTAAAAGTGTGACTGTAAAATGTGTGTTTCAGTGCTGGTTGTTCTGATGTCAAAGACCACGCTGGAGACCAGTTTAGAAATGCTGAGACAGTGGGCGCCGATCAGAGGCTGCCGATGTTAGGGAAGCTCTTCAGCTTCTCTGGAAAGTCGTCTTTATAGAGAACCGGGTCGGCGCGGTGCTCCACCACTTTCAGAGGCATTGTTCCAAAAACCGTAGCAAACTTGTTAATGCACTCGGACCTGCAGAGGAGGACACGTGGAATGGAAACAAGGATTATAAATTAAAACTGAAGTAAACTCCCAAACGTCACCGTTTTTCCATTTGCAACATGAAACTCATATCCTTATTTAAACTGGTACACACAGACACTGCAGTCAAACAGCTCAAACTTCAAATTCCAGTTTTGGTTCTTTCTTAAACACAGATAAGGTGTTTCTTTACCTTGCTGACATTTTGTTTGCGTCTGCAAACATCCTCAGAGCTGACGCTGATGGTGGCGTCACTTCCTACTCCGTTTACCCGCGGGGCAGCAGAGGACTTTGTCGCCCTCTGCTGCCCGCTCTCCCCTCTCAGATGATGCAGTCCCTTGCGCGATCCAATGAGTAAACTGATAAAGGAAGCTATAGAGATAAGGAGACGTGGATGCGGGACCACGAACAGAGACGAAGGAGACTCTGGAACTGCGCTGCTCTGGGCGGCTGCATGTTGGAGTAGCTCTGTTGACGATATGCAAGTTTTGCCTTTTCTTGGGCATTTTTTCTTCTAGTTTCTCAAGAAAAACTGTATTTTTTGGACACTTTACTTTTCTGTTTCTGGTGCTGTGAAGCTCGAAGGATTTTTACTGCAATTTTTTTAGCTTTTTCACTTTTTGAACATTTGTTATGATGCGTAACCATGGCAACAAGCAGTTTACAATCGGGAGCAGCTGATTAACATTGGAAAGGCTGAAATAATACCTCAATTGTAGCCGGAAATCCCAAATGAGCTAAAACGCAAGAAGCGTGGATGCAGAGCGGGAGCAAAACGGAGACAGAGAAAGAGGAAATTCAAACCATCTCTTCCATCGATCATAATGGGCAATGTGAGATCCCTGGCCAACAAGATGGAGGGACTCCAAGCCCTTTCCAGGACTCAGCCAGAGTTTCGGCAGTTTCGGAACCGCTGGAGGAGATAATGCAAAGAAGGATTCTCCAGAGAATCAAGAAAATGATGGACAACCCTGAGCATTCTCTTCACAAGACTGTCCGACAACGGAAGAGTGTCTTCAGTCAGAGGCTTCTTCAGTTTCGCTGCAACACTGACCGCTACTGGAGATCCTTCCTGCCAACAGCCGTTGTAATATACAATAACTCTTTGATGACTTGATTATTATTATTATTCTGAACTACTACAGCAATCAATTTCCCTCTGGGATTAATAAAGTATTTTTGAATGGAATTGAGTTTACTCTTTGGATCGCGCATAGGACTGCATCATCGGAGAGGGGAGAGCGGGCAGCAGAGGGCGACAACGTCCCCTGCTGCCCACGGGTAAACGGAGTAGGAAGTGGCGCCGCCATCAGCGTCAGCTCTGAGGATGTTTGTAGACGCAAACAAAACGTCAGCAAGGTAAAGAAAAACCTTATCTGTGTTTAAAAAAGAACCAAAAATGGAATCTGAAGACAAACACAGCAAGAACGTACAAAAGAAGCTCAAACTTCATCCTAATGTACAAAACATGTAAAGATCAATGTAATGTTTTGTATTTTATAAATGATTTGTAGCTAATTTACGAAGCAGCAAACTAAATTTTTAAAAATAAAAACATTTCTATCATCGGCTGCAACAAAATAACAAATACTGATGCTTCATGTGTCTCTGTTGCTCAGCTGTTTAAACTGGAATCAAACGTAAACAGTTATTTTATTCATTATTACAAACTTTCTATTAAAATACACTAAATCTGTGAAAAAAATCATTCAAATTTACATTTTTTTGGTTTTACAATATAAGGTTGATTTAATCTGTCTGTATGTTTTTAATAAGATTAAATATTACAACAATTTTGAAGATTTTTTTTAAATAGCCTGTATTTGATATAGCGCCTTCTAGTCCTGGAACCCCCCAAGGTGCTTTACAACACAATCAGTCATTCACCCATTCACACACACATTCACACACTGATGGTGATGAGCTACAATGTAGCCACAGCTGCCCTGGGGCACACTGACAGAGGCGAGGCTGCCGAGCACTGGCGCCGCCAGTCCCTCCAATCACCACCAGCAGGCAACGTGGGTTAAGTGTCTTGCCCAAGGACACAACGACAGCGACAGACTGAGCGGGGCTCGAACCTGCAACCTTCCGATTACGGGGCAAGCTTTTAACTCCTGTGCCACCGTCGCCCCAAAAGTCTGCCAGTTTGTTAGCCTTTACACACATCCACATAAAAAACAACTGTAATCCAAAAGATCAGCTAATTTTACTCCTCTCACGTCCTCCATGACGTCTAAAACTGACAACCGTACCTCTCAACCATGTGTGTCTGATCTAAGGACAGTCCATCAATGGCGGTGCACTCAGGACACTTGAACTTTTTCCTTGGGGTCACCTAAACAGAAACAGAGCAGCGTCAGCGCGGTGATGTCTGCACACTTCCATGATTTGTTAATTTTCAGAGGCCCAGACAGAAGCTAGTCCTATTTCATCCCACTGGACAGCATCAGACTCGGCACCCCGATGATCTCAACTTGTGAATGGATGCATGGAAAGAAGGGCAGTAAGAGATCGGAGGGATGGTGAAAGAGAAGGATGATCAGAGGAAGTGGGAGGAGGAACGGGAGCTGCAGGTGTAGGGAGGTGTGGCTCCGTTGATTTGACAGAAGGGTGCGCTTAAGCCCTGGTGAGTTTAACTAAACATACTCAGAGGGGGGAGTGCCAGTGAGTGACACCCAGATAAGGGAGGCTAAGGTCAGGCCCCTGCACCTGGGGGAGTCAGAGTGAGAAGGAAGGAAAAATGGGGGGAGGCAATGGTGTCAAAGAGTGAGAGGTGATCAGACCCAGAAATGCTGCTCTGCTGTTTGAGGCTTCAGCCTCCTCCCCCAAGCAGAAGCAGATAGGACCGTACCTTTATGGGGGCTTTGCCTGTGATGTTCGCCACCAGGAAGTTCATTGCAATATCCTCACAGTTCATGTGGGCGTCCACCCAGTTCTTGATGTCCCCTGGCATCTTGTACGTGTACAAATAATTGAAATACTAGATAGGAAAAAAGAAGAAGCATAAATTCAACATTTATTACTGTAAAAAATGTGAATTAGCTTTACTGGAATGTGTAAAAAAGCTAGACTCGCTTTCAAAAGTAGCCTTGGATCATTGCTAAAGCTGCAAAGGCAAATTTGGAAAACAAGCTAGCTTAAAACATTTTTTCATGCTTCTCAACATTCTAACATAGCTATAAATACAATGTGGAGAACAAAACTATTATATATACATGTATTAATGAAATGGTTCTCTCGCGTTTGTCTGAAACCTCCGCCAATAACATGTTTTGGACTGAAAGCAACTCTTGGACCATGCGGTTGTTTGTCTCGCTGAACCGCCGCTGCACAGTCCTCCATTTATTACCCACTTACGCATTTAGCAACAGAACACAAATGATGTGAGAGGATCGCTGCTCAATAATATCAGAGAAGGAGAAACAGTCGGCTGCTACCACTTCAACTTTAGGGCAAACTACCAGAGTCCCAAAAAGAAAAACACCATTTAACTCATTCACGGCCAATGAAGACTAAAGTCGTCATTTGCATTTTTTTACTGTTTGAGCATCGGAACGAGCCCCCGCGCTGAGAGAACAAACATCTCAGCCCTGAAGCCGATCTTCATCTGCATACGTCACAGATCACATGATCAGGAAGCAGACCATCCATGTGTTAGGAGATCGTTTTGGGCCGTTCCTGTAAAAAAAAGTGAGGCGCGAACCGGAAAAGCGTCGACCACAATTCGACAACGGATTATGAAAGAACGGATAACGCTCGAAACACGCGGCTTCTTCCTGATGTAAGAGGTGAGTCTCCTCTTTGTTTTGGTTGTTTTGGCGTCAACATGATGCTAGCGCTCAACGTTCTGTGACTCTTAAAAAAACAGTAAAAACGGTGAGAAACGCTGGCAGCGAAGGCCGTTGGTGATCAGGAAACGGCTGGCAGTGAATGAGTTAAAGTCAAGGGCAACAAAAGATGTTTGGACCTTGAAAACCGTGACGGGTGTTTAGCTCTATCTCGTTTAATCCGGCTTTGCAGGTCCTTCTCCCGAGGGGAGCGTGATCATGTTTACATTCAAAACCTAGCTTGTTTGTAGACTGGCTAAAGCAGCTTTCAGTTTATAGAGGAAATGCAGTCAGTCTTCACCTTGTGGTAGAAAGCAGCTCCAGTTAGAACCATGGAAACCTCGTTGGTCCACTCTGACTCGTATTTCCACTTCCCCATTTCGTGGTCCCAGAGGTGCAGCCGTCCTGGATAGCCCACAAGCCGGTCGGGGAACTCCCTCCAGACCTGGGGAAAACATCATACATGCATCTAGCTTAAAGGATAAATGATCGAAATGAGGCTCAAAAGCTCAGAATTAACAGTTAACTCCTAACTATACCTACTCTGAGCCAAAAATCACAACCCACTAACAAGCAGCAGCCCATCAGATCTTTTTACTGAAAGCAGGATGCAACAGTCAGAAATCGGCTCTATTCTGCTTGCAATTCCATGTAATTGCCCTTAAACTGAGCACAATTTTATCAAATGGCTTCCAAACGGATTCAGGTGGACATGCAGCACAGAGCAGGACCTGGCACGTGCGCAAATATGGAAAGAATCAGCTGCAGAGCTGTCATCCTTCTAACCGCATCACAAACGTTTAGCACACAGTCAAATCTCTAAATGGTGAGGAATGTGACTGGACTCTCCCTGAAGGAGTTCAAACTCCAGGATCAATCTGCCATCAGAGAGAAGGATGGTTTAAGTTCTTTTAAATTAGCGCATCTCACCTCATAGCCAAACTGTAGTTCATCAGATGTTAGCATGATGATGTCATCATCAATGGCGAGCACAGCTTCGGTCTCGATCTCATCGTAGGGGAAGAAGCGGTTGCTCAGTTTGTTTTCTTTGGTTCGAACGACTTTGAGGGGAACGCCAACCTTCGGCCAAAGAGATTCTGCCAAAAGATGAAAAAACGAAAAGAAAAACATTTAAAGTTTCACAGACAAGGATGGAGAATTAAGTAATCTGCAATTTGGCGGAAGTGAACTAAAAGTGGTTTTATTGGTGTAACAGAGATTTTTCTGGTTGATAATTTGCTAGCCATGTCTGGTCCTCTTTGATAAAAGCATAGGACAATAATCCACAGACATCAGTGTCTGAGGAAGGGTTATTTACCCCTACCGCAGATTTTAATCTGTTTCTTGGCAACAGAAAGAAGCGATCCGTGCTCCATCAACCTCAAGCACGTGTAAATGTAACCACACAACAATTTCTCATGGGGGGAAATCACCAAAGCTTCTTCTTTTCCCTAGAGGAGAATTTCAAAGACCTTGGGTGGTGTCCACGGCACGGAGCATGGCAGAGACAGATCACACAGAATGTGTCTCCTCATTACCAGAGAGACTGAGGAGCCCCTAACCATGACTGAGGTCTCCTGTCAGAAGTTATTCTGAAGAAAACTGGGTCAGGTTTCTTCTTCCACTTTTCTTTTGTTGCTGTAATTCCTTCTTTTATTCCCAAGGCTGGGAGAAGTGATTTTAGACATGAGCCATTATGTGAATCTAACAAGATTTCAGCCCCAAACCCCAACAAGCTAACGTTCGACTTCGGTTTTTACATGTTCCTCTTGCTGCGTGCAGTAATCTCAGCAGCTGCAGAGACGATGGAGACGTCAGAAGGAACATGTCAGGATTATCTGAGAATTTAAGTGTGTGCCAAAACACGCTCTTTCAACTTAAACAAAAACAGGAACATGGGAACGCATCAAATCCGTGTTCGGTGAGAACGGGAACAAAAGCTGCCATCATATTAGCCTGTGCCCCGTAGGTATGACCTGTCAACAGTCCCTTGTTAATGCAAATGGGTCACGACGCTCCAGCCAGATGCCGGTGATGCCCTCTAACGAGAAGAGGGCGCACGGCCATGGGGGAGCTCGTTACACCGACCAGCTACTGAAGCAGAGTGGATTAGACTCTCTACCTAAAAGTTTTTGTTCCATTCAACCTTTTAATTCTGGATTTTAGCTGAATAATCAGAATACGTACAAAGTTAGAATGAAATGCGATAAAGGTCTACAGTCTAACCTTGTGAGGTACTTCTAGGTACACTCACCCTCAGGAGGACTCTTGTTCTGATTGTTCCAAACCACCAACAGCTTGGCCAAGCTCGGCACCTTCGAGATTTCTGTGATGACCCGGAAGAGACTCTCAACACGATCGTAGGTCAGCACCACAGCTGTGAACCCTGGAGCCCGCGGCGGGATGAGGGGCAGGAACAGGGGGCTGTTGACGCTGGACCACTTCTACCCAAAACATGGAAAAAAAGACACGTTGGTTAGAATCAACTTTGTTTGCTCACTCTTTGAAAAAACGACATCAAAACGATCCTCTCGAGCCAGACAACAGTTTGTTTTTGTTAAGACTTGTCATGATTAAACAAAGGTCCCAGCAGTCTCTCCTGTAGCCAATGTTATTTTTATACAATTGGGCAGAAAACAGAAACATAAAAAATAACCTTTCAGTTAAAGCAAACCTGTGAGAGGCAGCAGCTAAAAATGTAAACAAAACAAGACAGGCTGGTTATATGCTTGTGTCAGATGCAGGTGTAGTGGGAAGCAGGATGAAGAGGCTGGGGCAGAGAAGAAGAGGAGTTGGAGAGGAAGAGTAGGGTCCGACAGGCGGCGGGTCACACCGACTCCACGTTAGATCAAATGACGGAAAATGAAGGAAGTTTGAAACTTTAACTGTAATCTGGGTAAGAGTTCCACCCCAAGCTGCAACTAGTGGCTGTGTTAGATCTAAATATTAGGATCAATCAGTATTCTGAGGCCACAGAAAATCAGAGAGACGTCATGAAAGCCTTCAAGAAGGTTTCTCTCTCCAGCAACCATCAATCCAAGTAAAACAAACAGCAGATCTTTATTAAAAGTAGCAAAAACACGCTTGAAGAAGGAATGAACCCGGCTCCTCCTCTGGTCCCAGGTGGCCGTGGAGTGATTATGTGTCTCCGTCTGCAGCATCAGCACAAGTCTGTCAGCCTCTGCCGTTTACACAACATCAGTCACACCACCACCAATAAAAAGCCACTTCACTGGAAAGTGGAAACTTTCCTGTGGCCGTTGACACATTGTCATTCCAAAATAAAGGGGGGAGGGTGTGATTAACGTAGCACACAGGCGCAGCAGTTTCATAAAAACAGCAGACACACTGAGAACACTTCAGTCATTTGTCAAAGTGAATGAATTAGCTGCAGCTCAATCCGACACCAACAGATCAGAAGGAGGTACGTTAAATATACGCGCCTAGAAAGGGTTTTATTTGGTTTTTAACTGCTGAAGTGGTTCTTCTCTCATGTTCAAAACCATCAAAAGAACAGAGATTAAGAACGTGATAAACTAAGTCTAGCATCCAGAACGCCTGGATGTGTCTGTTCTGTTGGTTAAAAACAACGCCACGCTTTTAACAAGTAGTAAACTTTAATGGCTACTAAAATAAAATAATATTACCAGTTTGGATGACAGAAGGGGAGATTAAACACCAGCTTTGGATGTATTAAATATGTGGGTTATTGATGGGTACAGCTCTTTCTACATGAGAAAGGTTGTTTTTAAGTATTGAACACTCATTTAAAGTGGTCTCTAGAAAGAATGAATGTCTTGTAAAGCCTGGTCCATGCTTCTCCGTCAGCTCCGCAAGGGACAGACACGCACGGATTGACGGAAGCGTTTTGCTCTCACACTTCTCCGTCTCCTGGAGAGCGTTGCAAAGCAATTACCCGGCAGGACAACAGAGGGTGTAGCGCTGTTCTGTGGTATCCTGTCATGCATCGGTCCAAGATCGTGTGTTTATATTGTGTTTTTTTTTGTATATAAGAGACTTTTTAACACGGACATATTTGTCTCTCATTCTCCTCCACCTCGTCATGAGCTCCCCGCCTCTAAACCCACGTTTCGTGTCATTTCCGTCCACAAATAAAACGCTTGCTGCGCATCTTTCCACTCCTCCAGTCACGGGGAATTAAACGTTCATATTTTTAGGTTTTTTTCCGCGAGGTATTTTTCAAGCTTCTCCGTGTCTGCCGCTTGTTATCCTCGGCTCTCTTTATGCTTTTGAGGGCGCAATGGCGGCGCTGTAGACAACAGCGGCGTCCTGACCAATCACAAGCTTGCGTTGTCCGTCTCTACTGACGGATGTTTAGAAAAGAGAGCTCGACTCCGTCCGTCCTTGCAGAGCTCTCCGGCAGGCATGTAAGGACGGATAATGGCGTTGCGTGTCTCCGCACTGACGCAGACGGAGAAGCATGAATCAGGCTTAAGGGGGGGGGTTGGAGTCTTATTTCCTCATTTTTAGGAATCTTGCCTGAGTTGGGATAAACGCAGCACGGCTTAATCACTAACTCTTCTGCGACGTTGATGTTTTATCTCCACAAATAACACAAGCCTGGAGGAGCTTCTGCCGTGTGGTGGAGCTGCTAACAGTTAGCTTCTACTAGCCAAGATGTTCTCTGCTGTGGACGCTAAACCAATAACAGCCTTCCCCGTCGTGAGTCCAGATGGGTGAGTCCATGAATGCTAAGTGACAGTGTGACGTAGTTCTGTCCGGGTTTTCTAATCCTAGAGTTTCACCATCTAGTTTCTATCAGAAACTAATGCAGCAGATAGATGTAGGAGACTATTTTCATGTTCAGCCTGCATGAAAAAGTCAGAGTGACCCATTATGATCAGAAATAATAATAAAAAAAATGTTTTTCTGTGTTTCACTTCTTTAATGAGTCAAAAGGTTAAATGAAACTGAAACTTTCATTTCAAATCTTAAACTTAAGATTTGCATAACACCGATTCTCTGATAAGAAACCAAACATCTTACAAGAACACAACAAGAAGTCTTTTAATCTTCTTAAAATGATTCTTAGCTTTGAACAAGATTCGTACCTTCACTAAAAAGGTTATCAAGTGTAAAATGGCTTTTATTAACAAATGTTGCAAGTATGCCCCCCCTTCCTGAAAAAACAAACAAACACACACACAAACAAAAAGCGGCTTGTCCCTCGTTCTGAGAGCCCTTTCTCTAAAGGCCCCCGCCATCCAGAGCCATGTGCTTTCAATTACCACCCTGAAGTCTTCTGGAGGAGAGGCGGAAAAAATGTCCGCCTGATTTATTTAGTGTTGTACACAATCTTCTCACCGTCCATTCGCTGAATCCTTAGAGAAAACACTTTTCCTATCTCAGGAAGGAATGGCACAAACGTCTCTACCCTGACGCGTTTGACCTCGTCCGAGTCTGGAAAAACGGTTGTGATAATGAAGACGGATTGAACTGAAGGTTAAAACACTCTGGCAAAGTCAAGTGTAACTGCTGAATGTGAGCTATATGCTGCAGGGTCAAGGTTTAGCAGCTAGCTTAACAAAATGTAAGAAAAGCACAGCTCTCATTCAAACATCTACGCTGCGTTTACCATCTCCAAAATCCCAACATCTAGCAGATTCCCATAAATTGCAACGCTTGTCAACATATGACAGATTCAAAGGCATCACTGTGCATCTACACACACATGCCGACATGCACACTCCTTTATCCCACAGACGCAGCTTGAAGGAGTCTCGAGATGAAACCAGGCTGATTAACAACTCCAGGGAGATGGTTGCCGAGCCAACGTGTCTGCACAACCAAAGCGGCGCTGAACACACACAAGCCATTCTTCAACTCTCTACAAAACACAATGACGAAGACGCACAGGAACTTGGTTTTCACCACAGAAGAGGCATCCGCCTAGTGCAGAACTGCTGACACAAACTGGCTGCTCCAGTGCTAACTGGTTGGACACCAAACTGGAAAGCTCTGCATGCGTGGTGCCTCAGACAGAGACAGCATCTCCTGCCACTGCACTACAGACGGTTTGATTTATAAGGCACAGGAGAGGAGAGGGGCTTGCGTGGCACCGTGAGCGTCTGCACGATGGAAGGCTCATTCTTGACATGCGCCATAAAAACAATCAATTTCCCTCTGGGATTAATAAAGGATTTTTGAATTGAATTTAATTGAATAAAAACACTTCTATAGTATATAAGGAAAAGATTCTGCTTGGTCGAGCACAAGATAGTACAGATTAGATATCAAATGATATGGGTGTTATAATACAGATGCAGATATGTAGAGGTCATGATGAGTAGCTGATGGCTCATTTTCACGGACGGTATCTACACGTTTTCTGCCTTATTTCCCTACTAATATGTCACACCAATAACAATGGATCCACATTTCTGAACCTGACCCATTTTTTAAATTCTGATTTTAAAGTTGAATCTTAATTATGAGCACTGCACAGTAATAAAATTAAATATTTAACATGCAGGCTGAACATGAAAATAGTCTTCTACCTTAGTACACCCACAAAGACAAGATATCAGATAAAAAATGTGGAGTCATATACGAAATACCAGGCAAACGATGCAATACCACATACATAAGAGAAACCCTTTTAATATTAAGCAAGGTTCTTTTTACTTTGGACATGAAGGCGTTTCTAGTTGCCTTTTACATGTTTCGACCATCAACACACACACACACACACACACACACACACATATATATATATATATATATATATATATATATGGACAATGGGTTTCCATAAGCTCCAATAACACGTTTTTGTGGAAAAATGGGAGGCGGCCACCACCGCCATTTTGACCGTGTCAGGTTCCGTAAAGCCTAGACAATTCCACAAAAGGGAAGAGAGGTGGAGCTGAGGGTGGGGCTGTAAGGCTGGGATCAAATGACTACACCCGGTCGAACTAGCTACAAGCTAACCTGAAGCTAGCCCAAAGCCAACACGGAGGTGGGAGCTAAGCTAACGGAGGTAGCTACCTAGCTACAACCGGAGCTAACTCTATGGAACACCAGCGACCTGAGGCTCACACGGAGTTTGAATGGAGGTTTGCGGCACTTTTTCAAGAAAACTATCTTTCTGTGAATAAAAAAAGTATTAAATCGGTAAGTTTATAAGTTGTTTCCTTAATGAAAATATATTTTGCTTTGAGCAAGTTTTCAATATTTTTAAGGTACCGGGTAAATTAGCAGGCTTAATACATTTCATATGTTTCTAAAACGTAATACTTGTTTGTATCTTGTTAAGCCAAGTAGCCTTTATTCTGGACTCAGTACAATTCACCAAAAGTAAAGAGACATTATACAGATGAAGTAAGCATAAGATAACTTACTGGAAGAAACGGAATTATGAGAACCAGAACAAGAGAGCCTGATAACAGTCATGTGAAAATAACAGTTAAAAAGTTTGTATGTATAATAGAAATTAAAAAATATATTAGAATTAGTGTAACTCACTGTGATCCAAACAATAAATCATCCATAGCTGATTAGCAATCATGAAATAAGGTCTGGTAGTTTTTAAATTTCATTCTTTTATTACATTTTTTTCTGAGATCTGTTAAAAGGTCACCATGGCAGCCTGTGTGTCTCCAACACCAGCTACACAAAGCAGCAAGTGTAAGTACCAAGTACCTGTCTTGACCACTTCATGAATGGTTTTGTACTTTAAACAGCTAGGCCAAACCTTTTATTTTTTTCTCCATAGCCATTTGGATCATTAGAGACAGCTACGTGAGGCGTGGTGCCCAGAGAGCTGCAGAGACCCTCTGAGACAACCTTGGCCTCCCTGACGTCCGTGTCTCCTGGTTCGGTTGGGGTGGACTGAGGTGGAAAGACCTTCTCCCCTTTTTTTCCACTCCCTGCGAGGAAGAGCAGCTCCTGATGTCCTTCTCATCCACTGTGGCGGCAATGACATGGGGTGGTCAGCAGTGTGAAGCAGGTCAACATGATGGAGGACCTGCACTGGCTTCACCTTCTACACCCTCATATGATGATCATCATGTCATCCATCACCCAAAGGTGTAGATGGAGGGCAGGTGTAAAACCTGCTAAAATTGAGAAGGCCAGGAGGTTTGTCAACAGTGTTATGGCTACATTTATTTCTAACTTAAATGGTGCCATTGTTGTGCATCCTCACATCAGACATGACAGTCCAGGGACATTTTTGTCAGACAAAGTTCATTTCACAAAAAGGGGAAATGATATATTTTTTAACTAATATTGCCGATTGTCTTAATGGCCAGCTCCAAAAGCAGTGAAACACTTCCAGGTGGGAGTCTCGCTGCTTTTGAATTTTGCCTTTAGGAGAGATTTATTTCCAGGCAAACAGGATACATATATCCCTGACTGTTATAGCTAATGTGTTGTTGAGGTAATTTATCTATAGCCATAACACTGTTGACAGCTGATAAAGACGCGTCACACAAACACCTGTGACACTTCTGAAGAAGACCGCAGACGACGGTCGAAACATGTAAAAGGTAACTAGAAACACCTTCATGTCCGAAGTAACAAGAACCTCGTTTAATATTTAAAAAGAGGACATAATGAACATTGTAAAGGATAAGAGAAACCCGATGGCAACTCAACACACGAACAGAACATAGAAATGAATGTGAGAAAGAACAAAGTCGAAGACACACAAGAGCAGAAAGCACAACAAAGAAATCAGCAGTAACAGACCACTGTACAAAGGAAAATCATATAATAGACTGGGACAGCACAAGGATCATAAACACACAACAGAAATTCAAAAGATGGATCAAGAAAGTGATGGAGATAAGGATCCAGGAACATGAACAGGGGCGAAGGTGTATACACACTGGACCACTCACGGGACACAGTGAGTAGAGCATCGTCCTATACTGCCCACAGATAAACGGAACTGAGGCCACCAACATCGGCGATAGCTCTGATAAAGGTGGCAGTAGACGCTGAAACATGTTAACCAAGATAAAAACAAGCTCCTCTTACTCCGTTTATAACAAAGAACCACAAAAAATGAATTCTTCTACCTTTATTTACTACATTAGCTTCTGATAGAAAGACGGGAAAACTCTCGGGTCACAAAATCCCGACAGATCTCTGTCACACTGTCACTTAACATTCATGGACTCGCCCATCGTGACTCACTGTTGTTTAAGCGTCCAGGAAACCGCAGAGACCATCTCGACTAGTAGAAGCTAACTGTTAGCATTAGCAACTCCATCACACAGCAGAACTCCTTCAGGCTTGTGTTATTTATGGAGATAAAATATCAATGCTGCAAACCAAACAGATTCAGAGGTAGAGTCGTGTTGTTGTAAGCCAATCAGAGGCAAGCAAACCAAAGATCAGGAAATAATACTCCATTTCCTGTTGTTTGGAGCTACTTTCTCCTCCAACTGATTTCTACGTCCTCAAACAGGCGCACCAGGGCTTTTTACCCCACAGAACAACTTACAAGGCATTCATTTATAACAGAAACAACTGCAAATGTATTAACAATATGGGTAAAGCTGACCTTTAAATAAAATTCTGCAGCACCGCCAGACTGTCAACAGGCATGTCTGACTTAAAAAAAAGAGGTACATCTGCTGATGCTGACATATAAACATAAAAAATTGTAAACTTAGGCCTGATACATCAGTCTACACCGAGATGACAGCACTGAACACAGCTGAGAGACACCGGAAAACATTCAAAGATAATGTAACAATTCTATGAGGAAGTATAAAAAAAGTACATACCACAACAGGTGGGTTATTCCACTGCTCATAGGTGCGTGCAGCATAGGGGTAGATGCGGTCATTAATGATCTGTAGAGTCGTCAAGCCGATAGCCTTCATGGAGCTGAAGTAGGCCTCCCAGAACCAGCGTGCCTAAGAAGGAAAAACATGAAGATTTAAAATGTTTTCAGATAAAAGAAAAATGTGAAAGAAAAAAATAAATGTGGAGTACCAGACTGAATTATGTTAATGGACATGGACAAGCACCATCATAAATTGGTGATCTTCTCAGTCCCTACACCCCCAGCAGGTCCCTGAGGTCCAGTGATCAAAAATCGAATAATAGTTGTGCAGCGCACCAGGCTAAAGACCAAAGGTGACAGATCATCTGCTGCTGTGGCCCCCAGAGTCTGGAACTCTCTCCCCCTGAGCCTGAGATCAGTGGACTCAGTGGTCTCCTTTAAAAAGCAGCTGAAGACTCACCTGTTCAAGCTGGCTTTGGTGTGACCTTCATCACCACCCTCTCCTTATTCTGCTCTTATTCCGCCTTTCCCGGGATCCAATGATTTCCCTCTTTCCTATTCATTTTCTCTCTCCCTTTCCTTACATTTTTTTATTTTCTCCTTTTAAACATATTTTTAATAATTTTTGAAATCTTTTTATACTTTAATTTTTTTTGTTTTGTTTTTGTGAAGTGCCTCGTGATTTTTATCTCGAGAGGCGCTATATAAAAGATTGTTTTCTTTCATTCGGGATGTTTGGTACTCTGGTTTGATGACATAATATCAGAAGACCTGACAAACAGGTAAAATGCTCTCCCACCTCCTCAGATGTCAGTTGTAATGAATCAAAAGGGTCAATTTTCACCATGGAATTGACACAGCATAACCTTTCATACATGCCAGAGCTGCAAAGTCAAGGCTGCACCAACTGGAGGATCCAGACGCACAAATCAACCTTTTGCTCACTTATTGTTCTTCAACGCAGACAAAATAAACTGCCAAGGTCTCCCGCAAAAGCCCCTTTCTCTCTGCGTTAAAGTCAGACTGCTGGATTCCTCACTCTGAATAAAAAGGGAATCTACACAAATCCTACAAGGCTTTACAACTTATTGACCCTTTGCACCGACGTCACTTTACCACGTGGGTCCACTATGGTGGACGGCAAAAGCATGTAAACAGTGAGCGACACGATTACTAAACAAAGGGAAAAGTAGAGCCTGAAATTGTTTTTGTGATCAAAACAAAAACAAAACTCCTCCAGCATTCCTTCAACCAGTTCATGCCCAGTTCAGTTATCAGAAGAAGTGGCGCGTCTAGCCGGGGCTCATAGAGAGCGGTACGTTAACTAGCTTACCAACGTTAGCTTACGTTCTCTCTGCAGCTGTTCACCGATGTAAACATGTTGCTGACTTTGCCAAAATTCACCCCTCTGGATTTATAACTTTATGTTGTAAACAGTGTTTCACTTTACACCAAAGCTGATTTTTAAAAAGTCTGGATCCCTACCAGCTTCTGTTGCTGGTGGTGTTACCGGGTTCAGCTGCTGCTCTCACACCGGAATGAGAAGACCTCTGAACGGCGGCGCTCATATAAATAAATAACGTAATTTTAACACACGTAATCATACATCGGAGCTTTAATATTGTTAATAATTGTCTCGCTTTACACTACAGTGGACGGAGCGCAGCCTCCGTGGTGAAATACCCATCCATCAGGACTATCAATAACTTGTATAAACACATCACATTTATCCCTGTCCCTGTCTTCCTCGTGAAATAAATGAACGTTAATCTTACCCGGTAAAAACATGTTCGCTGCAAATCTGAGGACTGCTAGTCCGCTTGATTGATTGATCGCTGCAGTTCATCTCCGTCCTCAGTCTCCATCAAAGTTATTAAAAAGAAAAAAAACGAGTTGAGTTTACGTCCTTGTCTCAGTGCAGCCGACCACGCAGCAAGCTAAAACAATTTTACTGTCAAATCTACTAAATAAAAGCGATAAAAGGCTACAAACTGGCTTGTTTTGACTACCTTCACTGGAGTTTCTACGGGTGTAAACGGTCTTTTTGCCGTCCATCATGGCGAAGGGAGCGGTCACATGAGTGGCGTGACGTCACGTGCAAAGGGTCATTAAGTTAATTAATGATATAGTTGCATGAACAAGATGTTTAAATGAAATGTTTGAATAATCTATGCTTAAATCAATGAAGTTGAAATGAATATTGCTCTTACAATGATCCATTGCAGATCTTATAATCAGTAAGTGTTTGATTTAACAAGTTAATCATTATCTACACTCATACACATCTTCATAAGATACAAATTAAGGTTAAGATTCACCTCACATAAGTGTTTCATGACATTCTCATTCACAGCGTTAAAAACATCTTTGTATCTGAGGGGGGGCGTGGCTTTCTGAGGGATGTTGGTAAAACTTCAAGACATGGCACATTCTGATTTGCCAGAATACGCCAGAAATGACAAATAATACGTTTATTAAAACAGGAGTTGCTTCCTGACTAATTCAGTTTCTAGCAGAGTTCTGAACCGGCCAATTCCAAACAAGTATCCTTGAGACATCTCTTTTGACATACAGTCAAAACCTGTTTGCACGCTGCAAGCTGACACAGCCAGACGGCTCCCTAAGAGCCACATCCACTTTGGACACAGACGAGCATTCCAGCTACTGTTGTGACCTGGAGACATCTCAAGACTGGACGGTCGTATTGGAGCTAATCTACGGGCTCCCGGTGCCGTGAGGTCCACCCGACTTCTGACAGTCCGGATCTGCTGGGGGTCTCCGCCAGGGTTTGTTGACACAACAGATTGCATCTGATGCTGTTTTATTAATAATCAACTCTCTAGTTTATAGCTGACAACAAATTATTTTACACCCAGATTTCACAATTTCTTTCAGACACAAAGGTTCTGATAAACATCAAGCTTACATCACACCACCTCACACATCACATTCCATCACCACATATCCACTCCATCACATCTCATTATTCATATCTTGTCATGTATAAATCATTAGTTTAGAAAAGAATAAAATTCCTTTTGAACTATTTACCTGACTCTGTCTGAATTAATACGAAGTGTGTTTAGGGTCCCTGAACAAGTAAAAGTAACTAGTCTTCTGATTAAACTTCAAAGATCAATCAGGTTGATAATTCATGTTTATGTGGAATTGTCACACCTTATTGGTCATAATTAAATTGCAGTCGTCACGCTATAAAGTGTGAACGCTACATTATTTTTGTTTCAGACGCTAAATCTGTCAATTAATTTATAAAATAAGCAGAATCTTAAATATTTTTCTTCCTCTAATAATAAAAATACGAAGTGTTATAAGTCTTACCAAAACACTGCCGTAATTTCATTGTTAGTACGGTGTAATTGCTTTATTATCATACGTTTTAGTTCTCTTACAGAGAATAGCACCGGTGTGTACACACTAAAACGTAAAATCCTGACATTCCCCAACACACAGCATCTATGAAGAATATTCTGCAGCCCTTTCCAGCTTCTTATCCTTCAACAACTCTTCCGAAGTCCTAAGAAATCTCCTTCGTTTGTCTCTGTTTTACTTCAAGCGGATCTGTTTGAACAAAAGACTTTCTGATGAGTGAACTCTTAACCCGTATCTTAGCGTTATCACACAGGATGCTGGACAACAGGAATGTGAAATAATACCTGTGGATTCATGGTAGCCCACATCAAATCTGGTTTTGGCCAGATCGCAGAAGAGAGAAGAAAAAACGAGTTAATAAAGGAATAAAGATTTCACCATATCCGCCGATGGCTGACAGCTTAAGTATTTTTATATATTTTGTTCTGACGGGAATACACGCATGTTATTTTAGCTAATGAGACTGACCTTGGTAAGCGTGTGACTAAATCACCAGTGCCTGAACAGGATGAAAAACTGAAGTGCTACAAAAAAAAAAAACTATTTATTTTTAAAGCAGGGCTGAAGGGAGCCTAAGAAGACTTCCTAATCTCAGGGGCATATAAATCAGCCGGTGATGAAAGTTTCTTTTCCAACTGGGATGCAGAGAAAACTGCGCTGGCCCCAGGGCTCACATCACTAAGCTCCACCCTCTCCCAGCACCATCAGGAATTTTATATGCAGACAAGAACAGAAATCATTGCAAGAGAAGAGAAACCATCGGCCCACCTTTCAAAAGCAGCTTTTTGTCCACAGGCTGTGCACTACGCCATCTATTAGCACTTAAATGTGATTAAAACATCTCCCTACACACATCCATCTACACCATGTCTTCAAAATCATCAAAAGGGCTAAAATAAAAACTACCAAGATGTTAAGCCTGAAGCAGCACGGTAACAGCCCACTGCTGTAGGAGACGGATTCGTGTGGGATTAGAGACCCAGTGAACCTAAACCCCTCGCTCGATGCAATTACTGACTCTCCAACAGAGGGAGGAGCACCTCTGACAGCACAGAGTCCTCTTGTGGTCAGATTTCACTCTTCAGATCTCACACCGAACTCTGATTTAGGAAGTTCTGATAAACTTTGTTATTATAAAGAAAACCAACAGGAACAGATGAGTGTTTTTACAAAGTGCTTCCATTACGAATGCACGTAAGAGGAAGGCTGGGATGGTGAAAAGTTGACTGAATATTAGCAAAAATGAGAAAAATGATCTGAATTTCAAAAAAAAAAAAAAAAAAAAAAAATTAATGAGCTGCAGTCATTTCAAATGTTACTAGGTGTAGAAATGAGTTAAATCTCAATACTGAAAGATAATGTTATGAAGCTCAATGTCAAACTGTGTTTTATTTTAACCAATAGCACTGGTTTAGTTAGTCTACTATAATACATTCAAACATTTCTCATCAAATATAAAAAGTATAGAAATGCTGTCAATCGGACAATAGCTGAGACGATCTGATAGATAATAATAAACACACATTTAGGTTTTTTAACCTAGTTTTAAACCAAAGAAGCTCAAATGTGTTACCTTTGGTTAGGTTTCGCCTCCCTACAAAGACTTCACTTACATTTCTTTGAAGTACCTTATTTACCAGGTATGATACTGACTGCTGACTAACGGATGTTGAGTTTGTTCTGTCTCATTCAAGGCTGAGCTCATGGGGAAAGGATTTTAAAGCAAAGGCTGTAAGCCCCCTGCTGGAAAATTAATGAACTGCATTTGTTTGTAATAAAAAATGAAGTTTTGTTTGAACGTTTGCGTTGCCATGTTGTATAAATGCTTCCAGTTGTACTGTATAAATGCATTTTTGCTACTTTGTGAATATTTAGTATTTTTAAAGTGATCTGTGTTGTTTAAAAGATATGAAGAGAACTCTTTTATTTTCTTTATTTTAAAAAAGTGCATTTTTTAAAATGTCAGTAAGATTAAAATCAGTTTGAAACATAAATTGTTTTGAATAAATGATTAATAAAACAGCCCATTGTTGGTTTTGACTTTGAAGACTTTTTAGGTAAACTCAGATTGAAGACAATTGGAACAAAATAAAAGATTTCGCAAACACTGCAAAATACATCTTTTGCAACCTCACGAAAGCCACGAGTTTGAGCTCGACTGCTGTAATCTAATCCAATCTCTGAGCATAAAACGTCTGTTTGGCTGGTGTAACGGGTAAATTGAGCAAGAGTTGAAACAAGAGAATGAAGAGCAGCTGAGCTAGTGCACCACTCTCATGGCTCCTCTCACTTCTGTTTATTGTGGCCCGATGCAGATATCACATAAACAGAGTGAGCTGTCGTTCCTGCATTTCACTCCAGCTAAAATAAACATAGCCGAAACTTCTATGAGGCTTTGTAAATCTGAACAGAAAAGAAGGAAATTCAAACGTTCAAAAGGTGAAGTTCAAATACAAACTCCTGTCCTTTGCACGTCACATAAAATCTGTTTTGGCTTCCAAAATCATAACTGATCCGGTAGTTTGATGGTTACGAAGCAGACATCTGACAAAAGACTCGAAAAGCCTCCAAAACAAAGCTAAAGCATCTATGACCATAAATCAACATCAAACGTTTTCTTTTTCAGTTAAACATTGTGATCATTACCTGTCTCTGCATCTCTTCAACTTGTCTGTGAGGAATGCTCTTCAGGATGGTGTACATCTCAGATAATTTCTCTTCTGGAATAACCACCGATGCCCTGTAAATGAACCAAAAACAAATACAAACATTACAGAAAAAACACAAAAATGACTAAATCCTTTTCTGGCGATTGCTCCAAGAAGTAGGCAGACCTTTTCCAGTCGAGTACTTCAGAGAACGGCAGAATGTAGGAGTCAGCCAGGATGACAGGGACACAGCCAGCCTGCAGGACATCACTGAGGGCGGCTTGACCCAAGCGTGCTCCTCGCAGAACCACGCAGAAAGAGGACTCCTGTAGAGAGAAGAGTGGATGGATGTTCATTTGCTTTTGTCCAAGGCGCACCTCACTCTGTGGACATTTTAAAGGCTTTAAGTTAGTTTTAATTAACTCATTCACTGCCAGCCGTTTCCTGATCACTAACGGCCTTCGCTGCCAGCGTTTCTCACCATTTTTACTGTTTTTTAAGAGCTACAGAACGTTGCGAGCTAGCATGATGTCGATGCCAAAACAACCAAAACAAAGCTGAGACTCACCTCTTACATCAGGAAGAAGTCGTGTGTTTCGAGCGTTATCCGTTCTTTCATAATCCGTTGTCGAATTGTGATCGGCAGACGCTTTTCCGGTTCGCGCCTCACTTTTTTTTACAGGAACGGCCCAAAACAATCTCCTAATACATGAATGTTCTGCTTCCTGATCATGTGATCTGTGACGTATGCGGATGAAGATCGGCTTCAGGGCTGAGATGTTTGTTCTCTCAGCGCGGGGGATCGTTCCGATGCCCAAACAGTAAAAACATGCAAATGACGACTTTAGTCGTCATTGGCAGTGAACGGTTGGATCTAAAATGACGACTTTAGTCGTCAATGGCAGTGAATGAGTTAAAAGAGCAGCTTGGTGACAGTTTATTTCTTACCTGTCCAGTAGTTGAAGCTAAAATAATATTTCTACCAAATGCTTTATGCTTTTTAAAGAGGCAAAGCAACAGCTGATTAGGAAAATTCTGAATAATTACACTTTTAAAAACTCAGTAGAGATAAACGATCCAGACTCCATATCATTATACTCCTTTTGCGTTTACATCGTTAGGTTTCCCACCTGTAGAATCTCTGGGTACTCGTACACCTGCCCTTTGTAACAGCGCTTTCGGGCAATTGCAGCACCCTGGGAGAGGTTGCTACACTTGTCTAGCAGGAGCAGAGCTTCCCCATTTTCTTCTTTCAGACGTTCCAACTCAGCCCGGTACTCTCGGTGAATTGCTGTTTGGGAGGACAAAATGAAGTAGTGCCGTGGCCTGGGGGCAAATAAACAGGATATTTAACCAGTTGTTAAATAATCTCTAATATGACCAGGACTAAAACTACTGCTTCACTCGAAATGGCCTCAAGAATGTCAACAAACTCAACTTTCATTTTACTCAGAAGTCAGTCATTAACATTGTGCAGGAACATGCTATTTGGTCACAAGATAATACTGAAGATGGTGAAGGTGGCAGTGTGTCCCCTGCTTACCCAGGTTGTCTCTCGGACAGGACAACATCTGCAGAAAGGGGACTGTATACTGGGATGCTAACATCATAACCTTGTCTGTAGGTCCAGGTAGAGAAACCACCTCCAGCCAAAAGTGCTCTGAAACGCAATAACAAGTTATCACACAATATGTCTCAACAAGCATCAGGAAAAAAGAACAAAAACTTTGATTTAAAACGTTTAAGGGGGTATTTTAGGGTGTGTGTGTCTGCTCTGTCTTCTCAATCCCCAGCGAGTCGTGGTGGATGGCTGCTTATACCGAGCCAGGATCTTCTGGAGGTTTCTTCCTGTTAAAAGGAAGTTTTCCTCTCCACTGTCGCCGCATGCTTGTTTAGTATGAGGATTGCTGTAAAGACTCTGATACTAGTCAGTGACTCGATGCAACCTGCTGGGTTCCTTACTGATTGGCTTAATGACCTGGACTGTATTGGAATGTTTACTTGTGAAGTGCCTTGAGACGACTCTTGTGATTTGGTGCTATATAAATAAACTGATTTGCAATTTAATTGAATTTAGGGAATTGTGAAGGAACAACAAATAAGATTTAGTAGACTTTATTTCCTGACACATGGTATGGATGAGCTTTAATGTAGTAAACTAGCCTAACAACCATGAGCTTTGATGCTTTTTTATCCCTATTATGTCCTCGACACACGGGAGGCGACATTGCCTCTCCTCCATTCATTTTCAATGAGACATGCGCGACAAAGCGATAATTGCGGGTCTCCCTCCTACCAAGCGAAACGCAAAAAACGTGCGTGTGAAATTTTGCGCTCGTGCACGTGTCGTGCACAGGCGACCCAGTGACGCGATCCCAGAAAGTTGAAACATTTTCAACTTTTCATCGCTGTCGCTCGGACGAGGACCAATCAACGGAGGTTTCATTCACTGACCAATGAGCAGACAGGATGCTCCGTACACCTCCGAGCAAACATGGAGGAGAAGTTGATTATTATTATGTTTTATATAGTAAAATCACAAGTAAGATTTCAAATAACTCTAGCAGCACTTTGTGAAACATCATATCTACCACTTTATTAACTCTGAACCGCTTAAATAACCTTAATTCCTTCCAACCTGACACAGCCAAACAAAACAACGGAAGTTTCGATTTCGCCATGGAACAGAACGCGTAGACGGCTTTGCCGCTGCCGCGGATCGCCTCCCGTGTGTCAGGTAATAAAAGCGACGGTGACAAATTTCGCTGATCGCGGTCGTTTGTCGCCTCCCGTGTGTCGAGCCCATTAGAGGACATCATCACCCAGGGGTGTTGATTTAAAATTTGTCCAAAATATATGTAATTATACCATTATGTTTGCAATTATATGCTGTTAAGATGTAAAAATGAAACAGTAATTTTACAGGCTGCTGAAGCTATATCATAAACATCACAAGCTTATATATAAACTATTGCTGCTACCTGTCCCTTGGCACATCCAAGGCAGTGTTGTAGTCAGGAGGGCCTCCAGGTAGCATGTTGAAAAGAAGATGATTCATTCCTTTGTCCCACCTACCAAAACAGAAACGGGATAAACACTGAGGGAAATGAACAGACTGCTCAAACAAACTAAATATAGTGCTTTTTTAATCATTCAAAAACAACACGTTCCTTAAAATATCTCTAGTACAAAATAATGAGCTAACAATGACATGTGTATACTATGTTTTTATCGTTTTTTTCTCTTACCTGGGTAGCACTGCCAGAGCTTGGGCCGTCTCTCTGATACGAAGGGAATTTTGATTCAGCACGTCAATAGATGGGATAAAAAGACAGGCCCTGGTAACATCATCTGTATAAAAGTCACTGTCAGAGATTGAGCTGAGCAGTTCATTGTACTCTCTTGATAATCCAGTGCTGCTGATGGGAACCCCCAGTTCATCCACAAACCTCTGAAGAGGGTAGATGTAAACCTGCATAAGCAGATTGGATCGTTAATCACAGTTGAACATAAATAATCACAGAAGTTTACTGATATGAAAGTCACCTTAATTCTATTTTTAGGATTGTAGCCACATCTGTATACATCAAAACAGGTGTGCATCCGACAGCTTAGGTCACCTCTCTCAGGTATGGGACTGGATACAGGCAGTCGGATTAGAGGTGCGTCATGAACACTGCCCTTTTCGAGGGTCCATTCAGCTGTGGACTCTATAGAGTGGGGCCAAAACTGAAACATCCCGGTGGCGATCAGTCCAAGCAACACCACGGTGAAGAGGGTGATGTAGTATATTCGGTGCTTGGTTTTCATGCGGGGGATAAGAGCAGGGCCCCGGGAGCTGTATTTCCCCGCGGCGCACATGACTGACACCCCTCCCTCTGACCAGCCGCTGTTAGGAAAAACTTATGTTCAATATGTAATTAAAAACTATTCCTAAATTTGATGTTCGGCTATTACGAAATGTTGCTAATGCTTACGCCACAATAAATGTGTATTTTTTTTGCATGGCCAGATAAATTACATCTGAAAAACATATCACACAAATGATACCCAAAGAAAACATATTTTAAACAGTGACTTAAATGAATAGTAACTTTCCACAATAGAGGTAAAAGCAACCAGAAACTTAACTTTACTTATAGCGGTTAGCTAAACCAGCTGTGTAAACACACAGAACTGAGCTTACAAACTAACGTAAAATTATTGAAAATAAGTCCGTTTTTGAAAGATGATTATAATCATTTTACATACCGAGATGTTTAGCAAAACTATCGACTCAGTCTCGAATCATCGCCACGGTCAGGTAACGGAGTACAATAATAAATACCGTATTGCTGCTAAGCTAGCTTTGCGTTAGCGTCCTCCAGGAAGCGGAAGTTCTTCTTCTACGCTCCTAAAACGTGCGATTACAACTCAGGAGATGCAAATGCTGCTCTCTTGTTAAAAAGGGTAATTTAATAGAGTTTATTCTCTTTTTCTACAGTCACTTGTTCTACTCCGATTATTTTGCGCTATCAAACGTCCGGAACTCTAAAAACTGAGATTAGGACATTATTGTGTTTCATGGTAACAATTATAGTTTACTCAGCAGAAAGATTTTCAGAGTTTAATTTATCATTATGATATGAGATTAAGATTTTAAAAACGTTTTTCAGTGTTCTGCACTTTTAAGTCGAGAGTTTCTTTCTGAAGATGCATAACAAGCAAATTCGTTCAGCCGGGGGACTTCAGTGCTCATGTGGACAATGACAGTGATACCTGAAGAGGTAGAGTTGGGAGGAATGGACCCCCGATCTGAGTGGTGCTTTGTTATTGGACTTCTGTGCTCGTCATGGATTGACCAAAATGTACACCATGTTCAGGTATAAAGGTGTCCATGTGTGCTCTTAGCATCAGGATACTTTAGGCCACAGTTTGATGATTGACTGTAGTTTCATTTGATCTCCGGATTTTGCTGGAGCGGTTCGCAGCAGAGTGTGAAGCAGCTGGGATGAGAATCAGTTACTTTAAATCCGAGACCATGGTCTTGAGTCGGAAAAGGGTAGAATGCCTTCTCTGGGTCAGGGATGAGGTCCTGCCCCAAGTGGAGGAGTTTAAGTATCTCGGGGTCTTGTTCGCGAGTGAGAGAAAGATGAAGCACAAGATCGATAAGCTACCGGTCTGTCGTGGTGAAAAGAGAGCGGAGTCAGAAAGCAAAGCTCTCGATTTACCAATCGACCTACGTTCCTACCCTCACCTATGCTCGCAAGCTTTGGGTAGTGACCGAAACAATGAGTTTGCGGATACAAGAGGCCGGAATTAGCTTTCTCTGCAGTGTGTCTGGGCTCTTCCTTGAGATAGGGTGACAAGCTTAGTCATCTGGGAGGCACTCGGAGTAGACCTGCCGCCTCCCTGGTGAGTATTTCCAGGCATGTCCAACCGGCAGGAGATCTATAGGAAGACCAGGACACGTTGGAGGGACTATGTCTCTCTCAGCTGGCCAGGGAATGCCTTGAGATTCCCCTGGAAGATCTGGCCCAAGTATCTGAAGAGGGAAGTCTGGGCATCTCGGTTACCTACAAGTAACATGTCCAACACCAGAAACCTTAAAGAAAAGACTAAAACAAACAGTTAAAACACTTTTGCTACTCACACAAATCCAACAGAGCCACTGTATGAAATTGCTGGTTTTTTCACTTTATACTAATTATTTTCTCCCCAGTATTAAAGATAAACCTTCAGTTGAAAATGTTAATGGCTCATTCAAATACTGTACTCATTGTCCAAATTTAAATGTAGCCTGATGTGGATTATTTAGACCATTTATGGTTTAAATTATCTGCAGTAAAAATGTAACTTATTTATTTGTGCCAGCTTTTCATGGTGTTGCAGTGAACAAGATTTAACTGAAAACGGACATCAAACTATGCAGCTTTGTCTCCAGTTGGGCAGCGATCATCAAGTCACAATCAGCCTTTTGTCAGAAATGACGAGTTAAATGCAACACGGAACCGTAAACGACTAAATGGGAGAAAGAAAAAGCACTTTAGAGGTTTATGCTTTCGTTCTTTTTTAAACACAGAAACAGTTTTGTTTACCTGTTTGTAGCTACAGTTTCGCCGACGGCTGCCGGCTTCTTCAGGCTGACGCTGATGGTGGCGCGTCACTTCCTTCTCCGTTTATCTGCGGGCAGCAGAGGACGTTGTCGCCCTCTACTGCCCGCTCTCCCCTCTCCGACGATGCAGTCCCATGCGTGGTCCAGCGTGTAAACTCCGTCGTCCCTGTTCATGGTCCCACATCCACGTCTCCTTATCTCGATTGCTTCCTTGATCCATCTTTTGTATTTTTGTTGTTCGGTGGTTATGATCCTTGTGCTGTCCCAGTCCATTATATGGTTTTCTCTTAAGCAATGATCTGTTACGGCTGACTTTTTTATTGCACTTTCTGCTTCTTCTTTTGCTGCTCTTGTGTGTTTACGATTTGCCTCTTTCTCGCACTCCTTTCTGTGTTCTATTGTCCGTGTATTGAGTTGGCGTCCGGTTTCTCCTATGTATGTTTTATTGCATATTTTGCATGGGATTTCGTAAATGACTCCACATTTTTGTCCAGCTGATATTTTGTCTTTTGGGTGTACTAGTCTGTTTCTAACTGTTGTGTATGGCTTTGTTGGTGTGTTTATGTTGTGTTTTTTCATTGTTGCTCTTATTTTTTCCGTTATGCCTCTGATGTATGGTAGGGTTATCACTGGTTTTGGTTCTTGTCTTTCTGGGTTTCTGGTTCTTTTTTTGGGTTGTTCTTTGCTTTCTGTTTTTGTTTGTTGTTTTCCTTTGTTTATTGCCCATGTCGGGTATCTGCAGGTCTTTAAAGCATGTTGTATGTGTTTGTCCTCCTGTTTACGGTCTCTCTCTTCTGTTATTATGTTTGCTCGGTGATTTAATGTTCTGATTACTGACATTTTGTGTATGGTGGGGTGTTCTGATGTCCATAATAAATATTGGTCTGTGTGTGTTGGTTTCCTGTATGTGTTTATGTTAAGGATCCCGTCGGTCTGCCTGGTGATTTTCATATCCATAAATGCTATGCTGCCTTCTGTTTCTGACTCATAAGTGAATTTTATGTTGCCCGTATCGTCAATATTGTTCAAGTGTTGTGTTAGTGTTTCTGTTTGACCTTTTGGTATGATTTCCAGTATGTCATCCACGTAGCGTTTCCATAGTTTTATTTTGCAGTTTGGGGGGGCAGTGGCTATGGCTTTTTGTTCCAGGTCTTCCATGAAAAACTCGCACAGGGTGGCTGATAACGGGTTACCCATGGCGAAGCCTTCCAGTTGTTTGTATATTGTGTTATCGTATGTGAAGTAAGTGGAGTTAGCTACCAGTCCTATCAGTTGTGCTATGTCATCTGCTGTGAGGTTTGTCCTTTTGTGTAAAGTTTTGTCCTGTCTGATTCTGTTAACTACTATGTCTATGGTTTTTTGGGTTGGTGTTTTTGTGAACAGAGATGTGACGTCATGTGAGATGAGTTTGTCGTTATCTTCTATTGTAATTTCCTTTAGTTCTTTTGCCAGTTCTATACTATTTTTGCAGTGTTGGTCACGGAGACGTGGATGTGGGACCATGAACATGGACGACGGAGTTTACACGCTGGACCACGCATGGGACTGCATCGTCGGAGAGGGGAGAGCGGGCAGTAGAGGGCGACGTCCTCTGCTGCCCGCAGATAAACGGAGAAGGAAGTGACGCGCCACCATCAGCGTCAGCCTGAAGAAGCCGGCAGCCGTCGGCGAAACTGTAGCTACAAACAGGTAAACAAAACTGTTTCTGTGTTTAAAAAAGAACGAAAGCATGGATTTAGAAAGACACAGCAAGAACACACCTAAGATGTTCACTTTAGAGGTTTGCCGAGGAGTTCAGCCTTTTATTTCTAGCTAAACATTTTTTTACAGTGGATACTTTGGTAAATGTACTCTGATAGGTGCAATCTGAGTTACATCACTGATTAAAAATGAAGCAGAATCTCCTTCGTCTATGCTGCATCTTCCTATAATGCTCAACAGTCATCTTCAGTGTTCACAGCACCTAAAAGCCTGAACAACCCATGACATAATTTACTCAATATATCTGCACTGGGCTCCTCTAAAACTGATGACATTACATCAACAGAAGCACCAACTTTTCCAGGGTGAATGCTTCTTTTATAAATGAGTGCTGCCTACTTAGCATCCCTTTCCGAAATGGGAGACCTCTTTAGGATGAAGTCAACAAGTGCACTATGAGAAACACAAACAAACAAACAAAAAAAAAAACAGCTTAAAAGACAGAAACTTGTACTTTTCTCTTTTAATTTGTATTTTATTTTATTACAGGCAGGGCAGTGAGGGAGAGGAGTCCAATACATTCTCGTTGTGGGGCAGGAAAGGAAGGGATGCAAACCAGGTTAACATGGACAAGACATAACTGAATTATTCCTTTCAGTATCGACCAATTTGTAAATCTCCCAATAGTTGTAACTCGTCTACATGTAAGCATTTTTATCTCAAAGATATTGTCTTATTTTTATATAGTTGTTGTCTACATGATCCTTTTGGAATGCATCTTTTCATAGACATCTGCATAAATAATTACACATAAAAGACAGTGCTGTACACATCATGGTAGGAAAAAAATAATCTGAGCTTTCCATCCACAGTTTGGTGTGAGACCAGCAGAAAGCAAAACTACTGAAGGTAGGAAAACTGCTGGTCAAGCATTAAAGGACTGGCAGCATGATCTATGAAGTGTCAGACTGCAAACTGGCTGGAAAATGGTATTCCAATTAGAGTTTGTGCAAAAACTCATGACTCTAGGCGTAAAGGTGGTTGTGCACCAAAGGTCGCCGTGAAAAGGCTGGAACTGTGCAGCACACATCGCCACTTTGACAAATTTGTATGGAAAAGGAATACCATCATCATGCTATGGTAAATACCACTCAGACAGAAAAAAGCTCAAATCTTCTTGCATTTGGGGAAAAAAAAAAATCCCCACACTGTTCTGAAAACGGAGGTAAAAAAAAACACCGACATCAAACCAATTTGTTGCAGAAGCAAGAAGGATAATAATACCATCAAATATATCTTTAAAGGTGATCAAAACATTTACTGTACTAAATAATGCAAAATATGAGCAACCGTTACACCCGGAGTGATATGGAAGATTGAATTCCACGTGAGTATTTAAAAATGGGCATTATGTTCAAGCCCATCTGTGCATTCAGTCCAAAAAACATCTGAGGTGGGCCAGATTAAAGGGAAGAAAAACACCTTCATGTCCAAACCTACTGAGAGCACCTTCAGAATCACAGAAAACATCCTGAGACACTTTTAGAATAAACAATTTGGTTCTGTGCTGCAACGAGGGCATCTGATTAAGCTCTAAAAAGCTGGAGTTTATGACCATTTCCGGATGTTAGAGCAGATTTACTGTGACTTGATGACAAGACTTGTTCTACATCAGCCATGCTACTTTGAAATTCATGAAGCGTGCATGTTGCCAAGAGCTCTTCTAAGAGAAATATACAGTATTTAGGAGGTTATCAGCAAGTTTCTTGTTTGTTCACACCCGATGTGCAGAAGTTGTGTTTCTGAAATGAAAGCCACGGTGGCTTTTAAATGTCAGGATGACACCTTATCTGTGTTGTTGCTGCGTAACAGTCTGCATGAGAACTGACTGAATAATTAGAATGAAAACACTGAACTGAGCCTGCGTTTAAATAAAGCAATATACATATACAAAATCACATCTTATAAATACATTTGGCAAGACAATATGTAACTTTTTTGGCAAAGGGGGTAAACTGAGCTATTTAATGTGTGCAAGAGTAACAAAATGTAAATCTGAGTGGCTTGGTGACAAGTTCTCCTCACGAATAAATTAATTTAAAAAAAAAAGAAAGTCTTCATGCATTATAAAGTGTAACCAAAAGACTCCAAAAACATCCATAGGCATCTGTAATAACTTTTCCCACAATCACTAAAAGTTTAAGACACGTGTATTCTCACCAACATCGCACACTTACTCTCTTTCTCAAAGTCTGTTCTTTGTAGACCTGAGGAACTTCTCTTATCGTCTTCTTACGTCGGTTTAAAAACAAACATGTCCATCTTCACATTCGCAATGTATAAAATAAATTAAAATCAAAGCTGTACAAGTTTCCAGAGCTGATGAAGATGCAGGAAGTGGTACATCACGCCAGCTCAGATGATGTGCCTATCCTAACCGTTTCTACAGTGTACGTTTCTGATTTCCTGCTTCTCCCCTTAGATTTTAAGGTCGTGATTTGTAGCTGTGTCTCCATGTGGGTGAGTCGTTGTTGTGAACTGGCATTGTGAAGCTACAGTTGTTTATATACACTCTAAAGCAGCACAGCCCTCTGGCATGCACAGAGAGGTAACATCATTGCAGTAGTGTAAAACATCCAAAAGTTCAAAGGAGACACCTGAAGAATGGATAGAATCTGCGTGTTGACCAGTCAAGTTCCTTTCACGGGTTTTCTGATAAGTGACTGTATTCCATTGCATGCGTATTTTGTGATATGTTTCAACATTTGGATAACTGCCCCTCTCTACGTGACAAAGAGGTCTTCAGAGCACGTTACACCAATGACGATAGAGTGTTCTCTTCAGGACAGTGACAAGGAGTTGATGTTCGTAGAGAGTGAATGGTTGGTGGGGCACCTTCGCTTGGGGAAAGGTCATTTAGCTCCTCAGATGATGAAAGAGGGAAAGAGGGTGACAAGGATATGCCTGAGGAGGGGTCAGCAGACCCAGCAAAAGTACGTGGAGGCTTGGGGACGAGGTTGGGCTCCAGCGTTGCTCTGGCTAGTAGCTGCGAGTCTTCCAACTGCTGTCCATCTCCAAGACACTCACCCTGGCCAAAAGAGCCCCGGCCAGACTCAGACTCCCCGTCCGACAGGTCCAAGGGTGGTGAGCAGCTGCCGTCCAGTCTGAACAGAGAGTCTAAATACTGAGCAAACTCTAGTACTGCTTGGCTGGGGTTCCCGTTGGATAGCTGGGGTGGAAGATTTGAAGTTGCCAGTGTGGTTTCTGCACCTAACCGTCTTGAGCCAACTTGTGGGCTCAATGGAGCATTAGGAGAGTTCCCAGGGCTGTAGACACCAGGAATCTGGTCCCCATCATGAAGCACTGTTGGCAAGGGGTTGGACTCTGGTTTGGATGAACGAGCCAAGAGACTCTGGGTCAAAAAGGCTGGGGAATGGTTTCCACTGTAGCGAGGTGTGGCAGGAGACAGCCTCATGGGATAATCTGGAGTGGATCTGGACTCAAGTGGGGTTAAGAAGGGTCCGACCTCCCCCAGGTGCTCTGGTGTTTCAGGGCAGAGGCAGTCTGCAGCCAATAATTCAGTGCGAGAGCTGAGAGATGGATTTTCCTCTGGTATGGGGGCATCTAATGGGAACGGTAGGCTACCCAGCATTGGTGAACCCCTCAACGCAGCTGAGGAGCGTCGGGAATCCAGACTATAGAGAGACTCTGCGTCTGAGAGGCTCTCCATGATGGCCAGCGGTGCCTTGCGGTCTCTCAGCTCCACTGCCAGGCGCTCCCGTGCCCCACGCAGTACTACAGGCACTGGGGGAGGAGGGCACTCAGAGAAACCATCCAGAGATATTTCCGACTGGGCACCGGAACTACAGGAGGAGAAGAGTGGGTTGGAAAGTAACGACAGGAAAAAAGACGGGAAGAGGGGATTAAAAAAATACAAGACAGACATGAAAATTGGGTCAAAACTTACGGGGGGTCAAAGAAGGAAAAAAGGGGTAAGTGTTAGTATAGAAACTACATCTAGATACTGCAAACTACGTGATCATTGCAATATTGATGATGAAAGAGTAGAGAAGAGACAGGGGACTAAGGGGTTAGGATGCTCATCATTTTGCTAACTCGTGCTTCCATGAGTGATCTTCCAGTCATCAATGACTGGATCTCCTAATCCCAACTCCTTAAATGCACTTAGATGAGCCAAGATGGTTTGTGGAAGATCTTGAAGAAAACTTTACCCATCCTCACAATTTTTCCTCACCTTGCTTGGAGTGAGGCGAACAAGTAGGCACGTTAGCATAATGACACACATCCATTGACTATAACCCAGTAGTGAATGTATGCTCTGGTTTTAGCATCTAAAACAGTATTTGACCAGGACTTCACATCAACTTTGCACAAGAGCTAGACCAGAGAGGGCGAGGTGAGAATTGAATACGTTACAACTGCTCTGTGGTTAGACAGCGTGCAGGCGTGCATGAGAGAAGGAATCGTATTATGCAGTATTAGTACTGGCATGCTTTGCTTACCGTAACAAGGTTTTTTGTCTTTTTTTTTTAAATTTTTCAAAACAAATCAGAACAGACAAACAGTGGTTTTGAGAAAACAATAGAGTAACAATTAGTAGCAGTCTATGGACTTTGCATTTAAATGAAATAAAGGTTAAACCTAGTCTCGAACGATGCTTCAGCCATTACATGCTAAGAGTGGAAACTGACTAAACAGAAGATCACACTGATTAATATATCGCCAAAGGCTCAAACACACCCGCAGCAGTGCCAGGCGTACTAACCGAACACTGCTGTTCCTGCGATGGTGGGTTGCGGGTGTCGGCTGCTGAGAGGCCGTCGATGCATCCACAAACAAAGACTCTGGGTTCAGGTCTACCTCTGTTGGGCTCACCATGATCTTGGCTGCTGACAACAAGGCCGTTTTCCCTTTATTGTAGTTCTCCAGCACCTGTCACAAGCACAAAGGTATACTCAGGCACATGACTTCAGAGATTAAAGAAAAAAAGTTTGGCAGAAGCCTGAGGGCACCACAGTGGACCTGCATCGGTTTTGAAAGTCGACGGAACAGTTTAATACAAATGGGAGGGAGGGATCAGTTGTAACCGGAGGGAAAAACAAACTGATCCATTAAAATGGGTTCTAACTGAAGCACTAAAACGATGCTAAATGAGTTTTGTTTCTTTGTTAAAACATTGGAGAAAACTAGACACTGGTTCAACTTGTAATAAAAAAATGCAGGGGCACGTTTTTCTCAAAAAAACAAAACTATAAATTCCCACATTTCACTTATATCCTTGCTGGATAGCTAAAAGTAGGCTAGCAGTTTGCAGGGTATCTGCAGGTTTAAGGGAGCCAAATGTAATACTTTTTAAGACCTTTTTTAAGACCACTTTGACCAAATTTAAGCAACTTTTAATATTTTAATTTAAGCTATAATTTCCAGCTATTGCCTGGAACCGGTGCCAACCACGTCGCGAAACGTGGGATTAGCCATCCAGTTACCATTAATGTTGCACTTCCCCATGGTGCAAGCTCCCACTAGCTTAACCAGCTAATGTGCTCATCTAAAAGTAGCCCCCTTTCACAACCAACTGAATGTGTACGGTTCCGTTTATGGCAACATCGTACACAAAAAATGCTGAACACTAACTACAAATTCACAAAATTTTTATAGAAATAAAAGAATCTTGTTTATTGGGTCTTTAGTAATTTAAGACCTTTGGAAACTGTATTTAAGGATTATTTGTCATTTTTAAGGATTTTTAAGGCCTTAAATTTGGAAAACGCTAATTTAAGACTTTTTAAGGACCCGCGGATGCCCTGAGTTTGGGAATGCATCCTCACCATGTATTTTTCAGACATCAAATTGGTGTGAGGTATTGTTGAAATAGGAGAATACAAAAATAAAAGCTTCCAAGTTTCTAGTCATAATTTTGTATTAACAGCAAAAGTACAAAACAGTAAAAGCAACTGAATATTGAGTTTACACCTACTCTGGCATGAAACACCCACAACAGAGTCAGGATGCTTAAAGAACTACACAAGATCTATATCATATGAGAACAAACTACTGGACAACTAAATCAGCTTAGAATGCTCATGAAAACCCTTTTTTAAATAAAAAAAAAAACATATATTGAGTGTGCATTGAGAGGAGCCAGTTCAGGTGGCTCCAGCATCTGGTTAGGATGCCTCCTGGGCATCCAAATGAAAGCAGACAAACGAAAACACAGGACACGCTGGCCCAAGAGGCTGGGGAGAGGGAGGTCTGGGCCTCTATGCTTAGGCTGCTGCCCCTGCAACCCAACCCTGGATAAGCAGACAAAAATAGATGGATGGATGGAAATAGTTTGTTAACTGATATAGTAACAGATCACTTCTACCCTACAAATCTAGACAAACCGTAGCAGTAGCAAAAGATTTTGCTCTCCAGGTCGATCTAGCCACACTCCTTCAGCAGGTCTACCATTGACCCAAACAGTTTTGTGTCTTGCCAATCAGTGCTCTACATTTCTTGGGTGGGTTTTGCACTAAAGTTGCAACAGAGCGAAATTACAAAGATGGTGTTGGCTCAGGAACAGGGCTTGTTTGAAATGGCTTTGGCATCAGCTTTGGACTATTTAGACATGGGACTTTCTTTGAGACGTGAGCAGACATTCATTTATTTAAAAAACGGATGTATTTGCTTCTTCTTTAACTGTATGGTGGACTGCCACATTGACTGATTGCCAAAGCAATGAATGGCCAATCCCAATACTCGCACTGCACCCTACGGTCTTCCGCGAACTGCCCTTGAAGGAAATGCGCAGTAAGGCTTTGAGTGTGTAGTACACAAGTGTGCAATTGCCAAATTGGGACAGTGACCTTTGCGTTGCATTTATCATCTTAAAATGAACTTCTATCGTGCGAAAATACATATTTCTAGAAAAGGCATTTGAGCTTTCTGCCTTCTTCTCAAAATTCCCACGGAGCAATAGATTGTGGGTAATATGACCAAAGCGAAGTGGGAATCAAGGGTGCAAAAGGGGCGTGGTCAACTTCCACACTTGAGGATCAGGACACCCTACGCACTCCGGGCCTGGAAAGTGCAATTGAAGTGTGCAAGGGTGCAATAGCGAGTATTGGGATTGGACCAATGTGTCAAGTTGTCCGTTGCTCCGACTGGTCGTGGCGCTGTCCAACTGCGTGCAGACAGCTTGAAAAACAGCCGTAGCTTCAGCCTCTCGGCTGGGTTGTTTCAATGGGTCACGGACGGAATATATACAGAGAGAAACACAAGTATTTGAACACCCTGCAATTTTGCAAGTTCTCCTACTTAAAAGCATTTTAAGAAATTCAGGAAATCACATTGTTGGAATCGTAGTGTTCAAATACTTCCTCTCTGTACTTGCAGAAGGAGGATGGCTTGCCAGGCTAGATCACATCAGCATCCTGTAATAAATACTTATTTAATTTTACTGAATGAAAAACGCACATTATTAACAAAATCTTTTATGAACAAATAAACATGTTAAAAACATACGTGCCAGTGACATGGTTTATTGGAGCTAAAAGAAAAGTCAACAGAAACTGAAAATCTAATGACCATTGGGAAGTTCAAATGAAATAAAAAATGTTTATTATTTTTTGTCATGCAGGTGGTAAGAGATAAGAAATAAAATCAAGTTAATGGGTCTGATGAGGCTATTTGGTGCATGCGAACGTGATAATTGTAAGTAAGCAAATATTTTGTAACCAAAGTCATACGGAGTCTAAAAGGATGATAAATAAATAAAACTGGTGCACATATGAAGTTTGGCGTAACAACGTGTTTGAATCTGAGTAGAATCAAAAACATATTTCCAGTTTTCAGCATATGCAGGTCTGACAGCTCTCTGCTACATCAAGTCAGTAAAAATAATTTGTTAAAGATTTTTAAAGCTGTCAGTGTAGCAGATCTGAGTGTTCCGGATTTCCATATTCTTTTCCCCTCGTTACCTCTTCAGCTGCTAATAATTGGCAGCTTCTTTGAGGAATCAACACTGAGAAATAGATGAATGAAGGCTTTTGAAAAGCAGAAAGAGAAAATAGAAAAATCTGCAGCTCCTGAAAAACCCAGTCAAGCAGGAAGAAAGAGCAGTTAGTGTGCAAGATGGCAGGTTACTATGGAAACATTTCAAATGCAAAAAAAAAAGTTGTTAGGTTGAGAAGCAGAGTTGGGAATCTTATGCCAAAGGCGTGTGGCCAAATGTGCTGTGGCACAAAAAGAACAGAAAAAAGATCAAAGGTTGGTTAAAAAAACACACTTTTTGACCCAAGTGAGGTTCCATACCACCAGATCACATACACTTTAAATGGGCGTTGTAACCCAGAACTTATTATTCAATAAAATTCACCTCATCAGCTTGTGGTTTCATATGACAAGCTCAAACTTGCTGGATAAATTCATTGTATTCATTTTCATCTCTTCCTCTTTTTCTTGAGACGTTTAACCGTCACCAATGAAGTTACTGGAACTTGATGCATCTACCCAATGGCTCATGTGGAAAATGCAATTATGCCAGTTTAGAAACAAGAGAGGGATCTTGGGAAGTTTTCCCTAAATTGGTTAACCAGTCAAGCTGCTTTGTCTTTTAACAGTTTGAATGAAAGAAACAGCAAAGTCTCTCCATCCTCTCCATGATCCATTTTAAAAATGTTGTTAAAGGTTAACCTAACCATGGTCAATAGGTTTCTGTATCTGAACTTTACATTAGTTGTTTACCTTTACAAGACAGAATCAGACAAACTGTTCACTACCTGCAAACTACCAACTTCCTGATTATTCAAAGATCCATACAAGATCTTCAGAGGTGATGAGTAAAGTTGGACTCAACAAAAAAAGGAGCAGCTACTTCACGAGAGTGAAAAATGCAAGATTCAGACTTGGTTCGTGTTGGAACGTGTGAATAATTTTCAGCTGGAAGTGCTTCTGCGTGAGAGTGTGAAAAGATGTTAGACTGAGAGGAGACAGACACCAAACACGGATGAGAGACGGAGGTGCGGTATGGTAGAGGAGCTGGAGGCATGGCACGAACATCTGGAAAAGAAATAGAAGCAACAACCCTCAGAGGGACTGAGACAGCCTCGGGTTCCGAGAGGGAAGTGTAAGACGAGTGTTTGTGGGTGGGATCAGGGGCAGCACTGGGGTTTAGCTCTCTTTGTGGAGTTTTAAACACTGGGACGCTGCAGGTTGGCTGACTCAGTCCCAGCTCCTCTGGGTCCAAGTTTTCATGCTCAATTTCTTCCAGTACCTGTCAAAACATCAGAGGCATCACACTACAAACTATTCACATCACACAACTACACACACACACACACTCACAAAACGTCAGAAAGTATACAGACAATTCTAAAGCCACTAAAAGTGCAAACCCCAAAGTGGATCCTTCCCATGCACACACACGCACGCACGCACGCACACACGCACGCACACACACACACACACACACACACACACACACACACACACACGGCCCTTCATCAAAACAGGTGTTCAGTGTCCTAGAAGAACCAGAGAAAACCGTCAGCCCACCGTAGATCAACAGTTCCCATGCACTTTGAGACAGAAACAAACCATGAGATACGTTGAAATGTGGGTTAGGAATGTGTCACATGCAGAGACTCAAATATAAAGATTAAATGTAAAGTGTTTTTTCTTCTTTCAACCACTTGCTGACATCCTAAAAATCCTACCTATCTGCACTTATTTGATTTTGGCTTTGACAGAGTGGTTTAATAATTCTGTGACAGTTCAGCATTCAGTCATGTGAAGCACGATTTAAAGACTGAATATAAATGTGTATTAACTGCCATTAACTATGTCTTTGTTTTGTTGCATCATAATGCAAAAATCAAGGATTTGCAAAAAAAAAAAAAACAAACAAAAAAAAACATATATAGCATCATTTAGATGCTAGGCTACTGTTGTGCTTTCTCTCACTCATCTACTAGTATGATACATATGAATTCTTTACATTTAAGAGTTAATTTAACATCCTTTAGTCCTGTTATTTCAAAAGCTCCCCTCAAAATGAATTAAAAACACCAGATCTATGTACACACACAGATAATACAGACCTTGTTCAGACCCTTCATCACCATGTGGGGCATGTGCTCGTTCAGCATGGCGGGTGATATGATGACCTCATTGAACGCCTTGTTATCCCCCCACAGAGCTGAGTAGGTTGGCTCTTCCTGGCCACAGCTGAAGAGACACACACACTCTGTCAATCACAGCAGAACCTGAGAGAAGCTTGTCTAACGTGTGACATTCGAGCTTTATTACGTTATCTAATATTTTATCATCTCGTCTTGCAGCATCCCAACTAGGGAGTTCCAGACCGTCCTCTCCCTGGCTACCTCCACCAGCTCCTCCGGTTGGACCCCAAGGCGTTCCTGGGCCAGTTCAGAGATGTACTTTCTCCAACGTGTCCTGGGTCGACCAGGGGGCCCTCCTGCCAGCAAGGACATGCCTGAAACACCTCCCTGGGGAGGCATTCAGAAGGCATCCTAACAAGATTCCCAAATCACCTGAACTGACTCCTCTCGACATGGAGGAGCAGCGGCTTTACTCCGAGTCTCTCCTGAATGTCCGAGCTCCTCACCCTATCCCTAAGGCTGAGCCCAGCCACCCCACGGAGAAAACTCATTTTGGCCACTTGTATCCACGATATTGTTCTTTTGGTCATTACCCAAAGCTCATGATCATAGGTGAGGATTGGGACGTAGATGGACTGGTAAATCGAGAGCATTGCTTTCTGGCTCAGCTCCCTCTTCACAACATACCGGTTCAGCGTCCGCATCACTGCAGACACTGCCACAACCCGCCTGTCGATCTCCCGCTCCCTCCTTCCCTCACTCGAGAACAAGACCCGAGATACTTGAACTTCTCCACTTGAGGCAGGACCTCTCCCCCGACCCGGAGTTGGCAAGCCGCCCTTTTCCGGTCGAGAGCCATGGTCTCAGACTTGGAGGTGCCGATCCTCATCCCAGCTGCTTCGCACTCGTCGGCGAACCGCCCCAGCAACAGCTGTAGGTCAGAGCCTGATGAAGCTAGGAGGACCACATCATCCGCATGAAGCAGAGATGAGATTCTCCTGCCACCAAACACCACACCCTTAACACCACGGCTGCGCCTAGAAATTCTGTCCATAAACGTTATGAACAGGACCGGTGACAAGGGCCAGCCCTGGCGGAGTCCAACCCTTACCGGGAACAGGTCAGACTTACTACCGGCTATGCGGACCAAACTCACGCTCCTCTGGTAAAGGGACTGAATGGCCCTTAACAAAAGACCACCCACCCCATACTCCTGGAGCGCCCTCCACAGGGTGCCTCTGGGGACACGGTCATAAGCCTTCTCCAAATCCACAAAACACGTGGATTGGTAGGGCAAACTCCCATGACCCCTCCATCACCCTAGCAAGGGTAAAGAGCTGGTCCACAGTTCCACGGCCAAGACGAAAACCACATTGCTCCTCCTCTATCTGAGGTTCTGCTATCGACCGGACCCTGGAGTAGACCTTTCCCGTGAGGCTGAGGAGTGTGACCCCCCTATAGTTGGAACACACCCTCTGGCCCCTTTTTAAAAAATTGGGACTGCCACTCCACAGGAAATGCCCCCGATGACCACGCAATTTATTATTATTATTTTCATATTTTATCGTATTCATCAAAATCTGCTCCAATCTTTGTTTCAGCATAAAACTCTAGCTGTCAGTGACAGAAAGCAACAACTTGCTAGAAAACACAGAAGGACTACAACACTAAAAACTGATTACAAGACCTCAAAGTGTTCAGACAGCACCCGAGAGGTCTGAGTGACTCACTGGAAATCCTTTAGTAAGCACTTTCACACCTTCCTTCACTTGGCTGTCGGTTTTCTACGCCACGAAAGTCAAAACCTATTTTAACAACCATCAGCACTGAATTCAAGAGTGCCATCGGCGTCTGAAAATTCTTCCAAAGTGCACAGAAAGTAGGGCTGCACAATACTTCACAAATGTATCGTCATCACGATATCGGCATACGCAACAGGCACACCAAAAAGAACAGGAAAAATAAAATAAAATAAAAGACGCAAAGAATGGTCAGCTCAAATGTTTGCTACACATAATGCATTTAGCCAATCAAACGGAAGCATGATGTTTTTGACAAATCAAATAGAGCCCTTCACCCATTTGGCTAATCTGGTGGGTTCTTACAGGTTAGATGCCCGCCCCCTAGGCGGACGGCACTTAGCTTGGATGGCTAGTAAACACCTGAGTTAGCTTAGAGATGCAATGACTGAGGGTAAGACGTGTGCGGAAAAAGAAATAACTCGTGTTTAAAACAGCATGTCTCTTATTACAAGATATTTTGGTTGCAAGAAAGACGTTCGAGAAACCCAGGTACTTAGCAAGACATGCCAAACACGTCAGGGGAAACACGACAAATCTCTGTTGTCCCCTCCAACGCAACCATACAGATCTATATACTGGGCTCCAGACAGCTCGCGTTTGCAAACCCAAAGTCTCTGATGTTAGGACAAGTAAGAGCTCAACAGTCCACCAGATGCCTATCGGTCAGAGTTTTGTGGATGGGACTCTTTACGAGAAACCATCCAAGCGGTATAAGGAAATAACAGAGGCACTTGCACGTTGTTTGGCTACAGCTATGATACCAATGAATACAATGAGCTGAGAGCCACCGAATTGAACAGCTGGGCCAGGGTGCACAGCGCGGTCGGTAAGCGTATTAATGGCTATGAGAGTAAACATATCCTATTGATGATTATTTTGTACAAAAATATTAAAACAGATTATGCTAATTTTGTACTGTCATCTTGCATAATTCCATTTTGTTACTGCATTAATAATGACAGAGAATGGAGTGGTGTGTATAAAGTATATATATACACAGCGATGAAAGACAAACACTGCAGATTTAAGTGTTTAGTTATTGCAAGTCATTTCGTTGTCGTAATATTAATCACGGTTACCGCGCATCGCATGTTCCTACTATCGTGCAGCCCCAACAGAAAGTGCACTATGCTGTAATGTGTCCATATTGTAACAACTCTGTTTTCTCACCACGTCTCTGGTGGGTGGTTGTGCACCACGTGGATGATCCTGCCAGGAGGATAGAGAGGTGTGGAGGCTGACAAGGCGATGCTGAGGTCACTGGGGTGAAGCCACAGGCGGCTGCTGGGGGGAGCTGCCGGCTGCGACTGAGGATCGTCATCTTCTACTGGAAGCTCTGATTTGGGAATGCATTTGGTACCACCTGCAATAATCCTCCACTGAAGAAAAAAGGTGTTCAAACTATTTATTCTTAAAAATGCACCAAATAACAAAGGATCAGTAAATGCCAAATATTTCCAGCCACCTTTGGCTTGTTACTTTTCTGCAAGACCTCCAAAAGGTGTCGTCGGAAACCCTCCAGCTGTGAAAGGCCGAGCCTGCAATAAACCAAATGTTATTGTAGTAATACATCAGAAAACTCAAGACCATCCACAGTTTACTGGATACGGTAAAAGGAATACCTTGGCACTAGGTCTTTTCCTAATACCACAGCAGTTACAAACTCTTTGGAGTACTCCATGGCATCCTCACTGAGTTATAAAAACAAAAATCACGACAAACTTGAAGAATGTGAACAGGATGTGTGAAGTGTGTCAAAGGTGTGAGCCAAGAGGGAAAAACTGTTCTCTGCCAACACTTACACATAGCATTTAAAACAAACAAACATTATTATTATTAATTCAGAAGGCTTAAATAAGAAGAATCAGTGCTAGGAAATATAAATATAAGTGCTTAAGGAAATATTTTCAATTTGTTAGGAAATACACGCCTCGAAAGGGAAATCGTGATCGGTTGTCTACTTAGAGAAAAGACTGGTATAAAAAACTCAAACTTTAGATAAATATGCATGAGATTCGTTAACAAACGCAATGATTTTTTTATCCATTCAACAAGAAAATAACTTTTTCAAGCTCTTTTTAATTTCTGCTCAAAAGACTTACCTGAGAAGGCCACCAGGTGGAGAATAAGAGTAGCAATGAAGAGTGGGGTACTGAGGTCTGAGCAGGAAGGACAGAATAGCAGCTGTGCCTGCACCAAGAGAATGTCCCACTATCACCAGCTCGTAGTGCATGGTACCTTTACTCTGTGGGATTACAGTCAGAATCATTACACTCACAAACGCTCCTACTGATTATAGTCACCTTTACAAGCAGCTTCTTCTTTACTCCAAGCTTCAGATTAGGGGTCAGCCGAAATTTGACATTTTTTTCATATATCCACGTCGGCCGATATTTGTCGTCGGTAAAGCCGATTTAAAGTCAGGTGCATCCTCAGGCAGCTCTGTGCTGTTGCAGAATTTGATTTAAATTTTACAATCACTAATAAAATCTGCATAATAAATACTCATACTTTATTTAGGTGTCTGACTTTAACCCTGAGCAGTGCACAAAGGTAAGACTGAACAGTTAGTTAAATTCAGAATTCAAAAACTGATTCTGCTTCAGAAATGATATATTAAGTGACATTTTAGTATGAAAATAAGGTGGAAAACGTCTGGATATAGGCCATGAAAATCAGCAGTACATATCGGCCATCGGCTGACCACATCTCCTACATATGGGCATCTGTATCGGCAGTAGAAAAACCAATATCGGTCGACCTCTACTTCAGATTATGGAAATTTTACAAATCGAGGGAACTCCTTCAATCAATCAATCAATGAATCAAATTTTATTTGTAGAGCACCTTCCACAACGTTATCGGAAGCCCAAGGCGCTGAACAGCATCATCATAAGAAAAACATTCCCAGTACATGGGCATAAAAGCAAGATAAAAACATAAAACCATAAAATATCATGCAAACAACATTACAAATAAAGAGAGATAACGGAATAAGACTAATCGATCAAAAACAAAATGGTGGACAAAATAAAATCAAGCATCTGGGTTAAAAAGAAGAAGAATTAAAACCATAATGTCAGGGCAATTCAAAGAACCCTAGCGCTAAAACGCAATCAAATAAAAATGAGTCTTTAAACGAGACTTAAAGAGGGAAATCCTTAAACTGTGGTTGATCACAATGCAAATTTTGAATACACCATACAGCCATTCTTTACTCAGTATGCTGAGTCACGTACCAAGTCTCTTCCAAACGCTTGTGACAAGATCATTTCCTGCTCCAATTTCTTCTTAATGTATTCTGCTGAGTAAACCATTCCCTGGAGAGAAGGAGGAGGAGATTCAGTGGTGAAAAGGGTAATGGCAGGGAAGGAAATAAGGACAGCAGGTCATCCATCATAAGAGAAACTCCACTGGTAATATTTGACATGGAAAATGAGGAATTGAAAAAAAAAGGAAGACACTTTGGAGAGGGGAGTTGTTGAGTCTCTCTCACCTTGTGGCCGAGCCAGGAGCCCTGCTGCTCCTCCACAGGCAAACGCTCAGAGTCTCCTGTCAGATCAGTCAGAGCATCCTGATGCGGACAAAACAAATTTAAACTACAAAGCCAGCACAAAAAGAAACAAGAGAAATCACAAGAACATCTCATTTAATCAAAGCAGCAAGGCAAATTAATCAAATAAACTCTCTCTATGGAATCTTTCTGGAAAGATAATACACTACAGTGATCCCTCGCTACTTCGCGGTTCGTTTATCGCGGATTCACGACTTCGCAGATTTTTTCTTTGGAGCCTTATTCAAGGGAAATTCGCCGATTCGCGGTATTTTTCACCGATTCGCGGCATTTTTCTATGCAAAATATCAAGAAATTCTTGTTTTTTTTTCATCAATTCCATCATAAAATGCACTTTTTGTAATAAAACTATAAAAAAACCAAGTAAACATTTTTTTTCTTGAGTTTTACCCACAAAAAGAGAATGTGATCATACGATAATTCAATATAGTACTGTACTGTAAATATGGTGTCCCTACTTCGCGGATTTTCAACTATCGCGGCCAGGTCTGGAACGCATCTACCGCGATAAACGAGGGATCACCTGTACATGAATTATTCAGACATTATAAATCTTAATTAAGATTATCAAATGATAGGAGTAACAATAAGACAAGTACTTTAATAATCACAATACACATCATTAATAAGTTGCAGATAAATATTTGACTCTGCTTTGAGTTTTTAGAGCGATAGTACACATGCAGTAAAACCGCTGTGAATCTCCGAACCTCCGCTTCAGTTCGAGCCCAAAATGCTACAGACATCTTCTCAAATGCTAACATACAGTAAGAGTTAAAGGACAGATCTCTCTGAGAGTGGACAGTCACGCTCTTGTTCTTTGCATAAAGGGCGTAGGAGTTTGAGAACAATGAAGTGAACCGTGAGAAGTTCACCTGCTCTGAAGGTGCTAGCGTTTAGGTGGGAGGGTGAGAAGAAGCATGTAAATCACCTTTGGAGAGAGGGTCCCCCTGATACTGATGACAACTTTCTTCTTAGCATGATCCACGGCCACAAAGAACGGCGTCTCATACACCTGTTTGAAACGAGCAGATAGTTGCGGTTGGTTAGAAACATGCGAGAAGAAAAAAGTTTTACCAAGACTGACACCAAACTGATGACATAAACAAGCAGCAATCCAAATATATAGTAACTCCCCCATATGTCGTATGAGTCTGAGCAGACAGGACCAGATAAAATATCTAGTAAACAAAATACAAAGATTTTAATCTCTAACCCTATTTAAAGGTCTCGTTCACTGGGAAACGGTGTAATGGTTCTCTCTGAAATATGATTGGTCACTCTGACTTGCAGATGCATGCTGCAGATGAAAAATTTCTTCAAGCCCCAATCAGAATCACCTTTGTCATTGTTTGTAAACTACATTTAAGCTGCTAATCTTTGACTAGTGCATCAGATACAGATAATACACTAATGTAAATGATAATGACCCGCATTTGTATAGCGCCTCTCAGAGTAAGGACTCCAAAGCGCTTTACACTACAGTGTATCATTCATCCATTCACACACACACACACACACACACACACACACACACACACACACACACACACACACACACACACACACACACACACACACACACACACACACACACACACACACACACACACACACACACACACACACACAGATAGTGATGAGCTACAATGTAGCCACAGCTGCCCTGGGGCATGCTGACAGAGGCGTACAATATAAAACATATATACAATCTAAGAACAGGAACACACACCATCTATGTAGAAAGTAGTTATAATCCTAAATGTAACAGTCCGAGATGCTGAGCAGTGCAAACGAGCAGGAATGAAAAGTAGAAACCACATTATTATTGTTGTTGAGGTAAACGTTTAGTTAAATAACACACCGTACTGTAACCATATATTCAGCTACAGTGCAATCAGAATGCAACAGACAGTGCAAAATCAAAAGTAATGAAAATTAATGGGAGGGGAAAACAGAAGCGGCTTATTTCACAATTGGTGAGTGGTTTGTTTCATTTCTGAGGATCAGTATGTAGCATATAAATAACTGGTGATGCACCGATATGAAACTTTTGGGTTAGGGTTAATATCACTGCCGATAACCGATATTTACTGATACCGATATACCGACACTAATGCTTCCAAAATCGGCAGAATTTGTATGGAATGAAAATTATTAAAGTTGAATTTACGTTATCATGTACACACACACCACACTCATTTACGCTTCTGAGATTATTACAATCACTGTCACATGTAGCAATTAATACATATTAATTATGACCAATAAGATGTGATATTCCATAGAAATATGAAATATCAATCTGATTGATCTTTGAATGTTTAATCAGAAGATTCTAGGGTTCTTTGCTTCTTCAGGGACCGTAAACACACTTCGTATTAATTCAGACAGAGTCAGTATACAGTTTATAAAATGAATTTAACTATTTTTCCTAAACTAATAATTTATACATGACAAGATATGAATAAGGAGCTGTGGTGTGGTGGATGTGAGGTGATGTAACGGAAGCTAGATGTTGTAGCAACCATTCTTTGTATCTGAGAGAAATTGTGAAATCTGGGTGTGAAAGAATTTGTTGTTTGCTATAAACTAAAGTTTATTTATTTATAAACCTCATCAGACACCAGTATGCAGGCTTATGGGCTCAACACACGGGAGGCGACAAACGACCGCGATCAGCGAAATTTGTCTCTGTCGCTTTTATTACCTGTCACACGGGAGGCGATCCGCGGCAGCGGCCAGCGGCAAAGCCGTCTACGCGTTCTGTTCCATGGCGAAATCGAAACTTTCGTTGTTTTGTTTGGCTGTGTGAGGTTGGAGGGAATTAAGGTTATTTAAGCGGTTCAGAGTTAATAAAGTGGTAGATATGATGTTTCACAAGGTGCTGTTAGAGTTGTGTGAAATCTTACTTCTGATTTTACTATATAAAACATAATAATAATCAACTTCTCCTTCATGTTTGCTCGGAGGTGTACGGAGCATCCTGTCCGCTCATTGGTCAGTGAATGAAACCTCTGTTGATTGGTCCTCGTCCGAGCGACAGCGATGAAAAGTTGAAAATGTTTCAACTTTCTGGGATTGCGTCGCTGGGTTGCCTGTGCATGACACGTACACGAGCGCAAACTTTCACACGCACGTTTTTCACATTTCGCTTGGTAGGAGGGAGACCCGCGATTATCGCTTTGTCATGCATGTCTCATTGAAAATGAATGGAGAGGCGATGTCGCCTCCCGTGTGTCAAGCCCATTACGATACCCTTGTATGAGTTGCTCCCAGCAGTCTGGAGGGTTACGGCCAGAGTGGTGAGGTCACCGGATGTCGAAACCAAGATAGTCAGAGATTAGTAGCCTCCTCTGAGTTCAGCTTCCCCGGCCAGGAGATGCAACCTGGGGTCAGCAGATTAGGTGTGAAGTAGCTCTGGAAGGAGCTGTTGTGTCTGTAATCGCAGCATCGCAGAAAGGTTTTGACTTAAGGTCAAAGGTGATGGTTGCAAAAGAGGCTTCTTTCCTGATTTGGCCGAATCGGGGGCTCAGCTGGAAACTGAATTACTCAGGAAGTAATTCTTGTTGTATTAAACTACTTTGTTATGATTTCAGGCCAAGTTTGGCCAATCAGAATTTGACACGTTTCTGAGTATTTACCAACAGTCCTCAGAAAGCCACGCCTTCCTTCAGATACAGAGATGTTTTTAACCTCAATATGCATCTTATTGTGATGTATAGGAGTGTAAACAATGATTAACTTGTTAAATCAAACACATAGTGATTTGTGATATAAATGGACCATTGTAAGAACAATATTCATTTTAAAGCCATCATTGGTTTAAGCACAGATTATTCAAACATTTCATTTAAACATCTTGTTCATTCATCAAATACGATTATTCACTTATTCAGAGAGAAGAATGTTGACGTCTGGCGTTCACACAGTGAGTGCAAGAACCTTGGGTGAGAATGTTTGTTTGAATGTTTTGTCTTCATGGAATGTCAACACGCGCTGAGCAGAAACTTCTGGATTTAGAAGGTCACCTAGAAAGTGGATTGATTTCTGTAGATGCAAGGTTATTATGTTGATCAATATGTAGAAGAAACTTTAGCCTTTTGGACGCTACACACATGACTAAACAAATACACATCACCCCCCGTCACCCTCTGAAACAGATAAACAAATGGAAACAAGATGGAAAAAAACATTGGTTGTTACTATGGCCCAGTTTCATTTATCGGACCAATACCGATATGTTGAAAAATGACTAACATGTGCCGATACCAATATTGATGCCGATATATTGTGCATCCCTATAAATAATCTAATCAGGAGCTATCAGAAACATAATGACAAGTGCGGCGGAGGATGGAGGCAGGTTTCCCCCATCACCTGCATTAGCTGCAAAAAGAAAACGTACAGGAAAACGATCAGGTCAGAAGAAGCCAGACTCTTCTACGTCGAAGGGAAAATTTGCTTTCATGGCCTCGCCTACCTTGGCTCATGATAACGGACGTTTGTGTTGATTTTGTGGCCAGAGCGCATCTCAGCTAGTAGAAGCTAACCGTTAGCATTACCGAGTCCATTTACTTGTGGCGATAACACACTAATGCATTTTTTACCCAAGAAAGAAGAGTGAACAAAGCGTCTTGTTGCTGTTAGTTAGAAGCGAGACATTAGGTTGAAGCTGCGGTCTGGAGTAATTATGTTTGATTTTTCAGAAATGCATAAAAGTGATTGTCTTATCATGTACTGTGATATAATATAGGAAATATGTCTTTTTTTAGTTTTGATAAGCCCAACCCGTCCCGTAGGGCTGAATGCAAAATGAACTGATATAAATATATGAAAAAACACAACATAATGTGAGCATAATGATTGTAAAACAATGTGTTTTAGCTCCATTTTGTTGGCTAGAGGAGCGAGAGGCGTTGCTTTCGGCCTTAAATACGAAAATGAAAATAGGTCAAGATGTGATACGCTAATGCAGCCACTAGACGATGCCATCAGATAAAAGAAAAAATACTTTATTGCTACTTTATTGAAGAAAAAGTGAAATCGTTTTCTGCCCTCTACTCCTCTTTCAAACTTGGAACCTCTTGGAACAGGAACGAACATTTGTTCAGCAGAAAACGACTCACCTCATACTAAAGACCAGCAGCAGATTAATAAAAAAACAAACAAAAATAAAAAAACCATGTGAATGAGATCTTTCAAATAATTGTTACACTTGACCTTGTTGCATATGAGAGTGTAAACATTAAAGAGAGAATTGTTAACATAAACGACAAAAACTTACTGACCAAGTGGTTCTGAGTCGTTTCCATTTTAGTTACTGCAGGAAAAATGCTCTTAAATTAACCGTTTATAGAATTAAAAGCCAAAATATGATCAGATTGACTCGTTATTTCTAATCCATGGATAAAAAGTGACGTGACTAAAAGAAGTACCCGATGCACCAGAGGTTCGATGTTTGTTTTGAATGCTTACTTGTCAGTGATCTGTTCAATCTGGCCCGTGTGACAGGAACTTCTATCACACAGATGGAAGATCCCCTAATTGCACCGCTGTTTGCTGGCAGCATAATGAAAGGACCGATATAAACCTGCCACAGTGTGTGCTGTTAGATGGCACACTGCAGTTCCAGAATGAAACCATCGGCATACACGTCAGCTCAGCTCTTTGACTATCTTTGCTTCTGGCAGCAAGACATAAAAATTCCTCCCAGTTCAGCCCCTAAATGTCTCTCACAGACGAGAATAAAGCTACCACAGTCTAGTGCAGGCTGCAGTTTCACTAGCAGCCCAGAAATTGGAGCAACTCCTCAGTCTTCGTCGACGAGTCTTTTCAATCTTGGCACAGCGTCCCTAAATCAGTGAATTTATAAGTGGAAACTCAGAAGCATTCTACTTTACAGATCCCAGCCTACATCCCACATCTGAGTACACCAACTGTTGTTAAAAATGTTTCTTTACTATGAAATGAGTCAATTATATAATTATACTTCGTGTTCCAGGATATTAAAACTTTAACAATAACTCTAAATGTACAGCTAATATGCTAAATATTTTTGACCATTTAGCTACTAGAAGTCATTTGGGGACTAGGGGATGCTTCGGTGATAATTTGAAACCCGTGATGATTTTTATAGATGTAATGGTGAATAGTTTGTATTTGATATAGCCCCTTCTAGGGTCCTACAACCCCCCATAGTGCTTTACAACACAATCAGTCATAGCCACGCACACATACATTCACACCCTGGTGGTGACGAACAGTTCTGGCAGAGGTGAGGCTGTGGAGCACTGGTTCCACCGGCCCCTCCAACCACCGCCAACAGGCGAGGTGGGTTAGGCGTCTTGCTCAAGGACACAACAGCATAAATGTTCATAACGTGTAATAGTCACACAAAAAGATCCATCAAGCTTTAAACATATAAATCAGCAACCAACCTAAATGAAGCACGAAGGAGGTACAGCTTACTTTGTCTCAGCAACTGTTTGGCTATGACTCATAGCTGCTTCAGACGTGGAGACTTACTATCAAGAATGTGAACAACCCTCACACAGCTTCAAGCATCCCAGAGTACAACATAAGGAATCAAAGATGCAAGTAAACTTCAAAACTTCAAGCAATGACTTTGCTCATCAACCTAAAACAGCATAAAATAGGTCATTCTTCTCCTACAGCGCACTGTGGAGATGAGTATTAGCCTGATGCTGTGAAACGCCTCCACAACACCCATCCTCTATTTGACAAGGAATTAGAGCTTAAACACATATGACTGCGTGAGGCCCGCGTGTTGGATCACTCACAGCATCGTGGCAGGAAGTGTAGACAATGTGGACCTGCTTGAGATCCCTGTCCAGGAAGTGTCGGCGTATGGCCAGGACGTTGCAGCCGCAGCAGTTGTCCTCCTCCACCGTCACGGACTGAGACAGCCGAGAGCCAGACACCGAGGTGCAGCTGGGCAGGAAGACAAAGACCACAGCCACAGGAAGAGAGACGATCGGTGTTGGGTTATTGTGCAAAGAGAAATACAGCAACAACAGGTGAAACCAGAGGTATAATTAGCATCCCGGTGCAGGACACCTGGATAAGAGTGTGTGATGGATTCAGTGTGCTGCTTGTGTCAGTGAGTGGTTCTAGCTGGAGTGGTATTGTCTCAGTGGAACACCACTTGGCAAGTATTGCAGCATGTGAAATTTGATCTGCGCTGAAGAGGCTCAGGAGACACAGAAATCAAATAGATAAAACTGTGTGGGGGTATGTTCGAGTGCTTACGGGCAGGAGCTGGCGAGGCGGCACAGCCCACAGCCGGGCTTCCTCATCAGGTACATGGGCCAACCATATGCAGCCAGGGCAAAGAGCATGTAATAACACACATCTTTGTACATGTTCATCTCAGACTGGGAGGGAAAAGGAGAAACAGACAAAATACACACACATGGATAAATTTATAGGTTTCAGCTCAGATACAGATTTGACTTTGTGAGTTTCAATACACTGATAAACTCACAGAGTTCTTTAGGTCCAGATATCGAGTATTACGAGTGACTGGGATTCCTGATAAGAACGCTAAAATGTCATTGTTGGCCTGAAAAAAGATATTGTTAAACAAAGCATTTAATTCACATTTTTATTTTAGTATGATTTAATGTTTATTAAAAAAATAACCCTACAGGGAGTGATACCTGGTCCAGGATGGATGACCTCTTAGACCTCTGTCTCTGGCGAAGAAGTACCAGACCAGCAATGATGTCACTGGGCACGATGTCCAGGTCTCTAAAGAACTCTGCAAAAAGGCTGGCCACTTCTGAATATGCATCCTGGATGTCAAAGCAGCAAGTATTAGGATGTGGTGGTGGCAGGAAATAACTCGAATATCAAAAGTAAAAAAAACAACAACAAAAAAAAAAAACAAATCAAACTAACTTTAAACTAGGAGTGAGACCAGATTAAAAAAACAATCTAATTAATTTGAGGCTTTGTAATTAATTATTCTTGATTAATAGCATTTTATTCATTCAAGACAATTTGCACCCAAGCAAAGTTTTTAATCAGAAACAATGTCAGTGAGGCACAGATAACATACCCACACTTTAATGAGTATCTTTACTCTTTACTCTGGTTTAATTCTTTTTTTCATAACCGTTCTCAAATTACTGTCTTTAACGAATGCCAGTCGAGACAACGAGGAGTTACGGGAGGTGTTCCACAAGGGTCTTCCTTGGGACCTCTCTTATTCTCAATTTTTATTAACGATATGACTATTTTCCACCCTGATTTACAAATAAATTCTTTAAAAATCCTGCCATGTGAATTCATGGATTTTTTTTCACATTCTGTCTCTCACAGTTGAAGTGTACCTATGATGAAAATTACTGACCTCTGTCATCATTTTAAGTGGGAGAACTTGCACAATCGGTGGCTGACTAAATACTTTTTTGCCCCACTGTAGTTTGCCTTTATTATTCAAATTTATGAAGCTGAAATATATATATATTTATATATATATATATATTTTAGCAAGTAACTCAAGTGAACTTTCTAAGACTATTTCAATTATAAGCATTGTTATGTCCATTGTACCATTATTGTTGTAAATCCCATGAAATAAACTTCCTGTTTTGAGACCAGACGTAGAGTGTTAGTTGCTACTGTGAAGATACAAAGTGCAAAACAGGAAAGATCGCGTTCGGTTACAAAGAGCAGGAGGTGGGCTGCAGCCAGTAACTGCAGCTCTCGCTTCGTTACTCTCTTTTTATTCTTTGCTTTTTATTCTGTGAGTGTTTTAATGCCCTTAAGGTAGGTGCAGCTAACGCTAGCTCTCTTTAGCAGCTAACTATATCAAGTGAAACACCGGTTCTGCCTCCAGAAATGCAGAGAAACCTAAATGCAGCTCTGGAGAGGGAACAGAGATATAAACCAAAGATACCCTTTATGATTATAGGAAATATCCGCTTTCTCCCCCAATAGAATGGAAGAGCTCCAAGTGCTGACTCAGCTGCTGCAACAGGATTACTTACAGCCTGATGATTTTTACGAGGACGTGGATGAACAAGCTCATAGCAGACTCAGAGGTTTGTCTGGAAGGATTTAAACTCACACGAACTGACAGGAGAGCAGAGCAATTCGGTGAGGATCCCAGAAATCTTGAGAAATGTAAATCGCCGCTTGATTCTGGGGTTAAACAGATCCCACTTAAAAGTCTTAACTCACCCAAAGCAAAGTTTTTGAGTCGGAAAACCCCACCGTAAACAGGGCGAGACTCACACAGGAAAATGAGCCCTCTACAGTAGTTTCCCCCTGGATAAAGTTAAAGTTAAAGTCCCATTAGTTGTCACACACACAGGTGTGTGTGCGAAATTTGTTCTCCGCATTTGACCCATCCCCTGGGGGAGCGGTGAGCTGCACACACAGCCGTGCTCGGGAACTATTTGGTGGTTTAACCCCCCAATCCAACCCCTTAATGCTGAGTGTCAAGCAGGGAGGCATTGGGTCCCATTTTTTCAAAGTCTCTGGTATGACCCGACCAGGAGTCGAACCCCTGATCTCCCAGTCTCAGGGCGGACACTCTACCACTAGGCCACTGAGAAAAGGTGGATAAAAGCATATGCCAACGTGCTCATAGCCTATTTTGGGAGATCGACAAGACTCGCCAGTTATAATTGCCGATCTCCGATCACTGAAAAAAAAAAAAAGAAAAAATCGGCCCAATCCAATCCAGGGATCGGGATTGGGACATCCCTAGTAAAAATTTTGATTTATTATTTTCTTTCTCTTTTCCTCATGAAGAGCTATTTGTCATGATTGATTTATTTGTAGTTTTAGTTGTGATTGGAGCACGTAAAAAGGTTTATATGGTCTAGTAGCCCAGGCTCCGCAGGCTTGCTAGAGGTGTAGCTTGATGAAATTTATTGATATAAAGGGCATAAATTGTGATGCTTAACATTTCAGGCCCAAAAATGGGGGGTGCTTGTGCTCAAGGAGGTACATTTTAAACTTTTTTCCTAATTAATTGATCATAATTAACAGGTTTAATTCTCACCCTTAACTTAAACTGTTCCAGGGATTAAATATTATGAGCAAAAAAGTAATAAACGGCAGAACTGAACAGCAGCTGAACTAACTAAAAAATTTAAAATTTGGTATTAGAGAAGAATGTTGGGACCATCTTGTATAACCTGCTAAAACAACAACCTGGTCCTGTGGTTGGACAAAGTAATCTACCCCACCTCAAATTTAATTTAGTGGAGTTAAGTAACAGAGATGGAGCTTAGTGTGGAATCAAAGGTAACTGAATAGAAGACAGACCACCAAATGCTTGTTTTACTGGAGTTGTCCTCACTGAGCTCACAATACAGCAAGAAAATGTAAGAATTACCAGAATAAAGTGGATTATTATTCAAAAACTGGCACTGCCGTTGTTATGCAACACTTAGATAATTCAATCAGAGCAGCTTTTAATCTATTCCGCAAATGCAATGCCCATAAAGTCCTAAATGAGATGCATAGTTACAGTTTCACCCGTTTTCACTTTGACTTTTTCTTCACCACAAACAGGAAATGAGTTTACTAGGTGCGTAACATGACTCACTGATTGTGTATCCTGGGCTCTTGTGCAGCACATAAAAAATTTCAGCCTCCTGCTCCAGCTGCTGGCCTGACCTTCTTCTAGTCTGTGTCTAACAGCAAGAAAAAGACAAAGAATTATGTCACGACTGAAAAAGTGTGAACACCAAAAAGAGACGAGCAGGAGGCTAGTGTCAAGATTAAATAAAACACTGATAAATAGATGTTCACAGACGTGGAAAACATTGGCACCCCTCCATTAAAGAAGTAAAAACCCACAATGGTCACTGAAAAAAACTGGACAAAGATTTCAATCTCCCTAAAGGACTTGTGCACCTGTGGACAGGTACTTAAGCCCCCCAGCTGTCTCAGGTTTGAAACCAAACAGCACTGCAACTACCATTCACCCTTTAAACAGGCCGACTGACTGATTTCTAACTGTTTTTTAGGGGTATCACAATTCACAAACAATGTATGACACCCATACCTTTATTATTGTGAATTATTCATTATTATTAACATAACCATGGTTGGGCTTTCTTTTTTAAACGGTACAAACATTGTAATCTGTCTATGAGAGGCTGTTGGTACCTGAGCGTGTACGTAGTGAGGTTTCGTTGACGCCGACGAGTTGCTTTCAGTTTGACAAAAGTCCGTCCAGTAGGATCAAAGGTGCACGTGAGGGTGATGCAAACACTGAGTATCACCAACCAATTGCATGCCACAATTCCTGCAAAGAACATTATAACATTCATACTCACACATAAGAACGTCCTGGGGTTAAACCGATCCCACTTAAAAGTCTTAACTCACCCAAAGCCAAGTTTTTGGCCGTGACATCGGAACATGGCTGATAATGCTGGACAAGCCAGGCAATTCCCACAACAGCATAAACAAACTCGACCAAGAGAATAACTGGACGCAAAAGAGAGAGAATAAAAAATATTTTTGCACAAGCACAGAGTTAAATAGAATCACTCACAGAAAACCATTTATGTCTTACCTAGCCGAATGTAGATCACATATTGAACAGCTTCCCTGGGCTGCGTGTACAAAATGCTGCCCCTCATACTTAACCACATAATGGCACTCTCACAAATAAGGCAGCTAACCAGGATTCCCAGGTACCCTCGGCCATGATCCACCAGTGTGGCGGAACATGACTGGTCGGAGCTGTACGGAAGGCCAAACAGGACCACGGATAGAACCACCAACCTGCGAATGAAAGAGAAGCAAATGGAAAACCGGATCAGCGTAACATCCCTAATGCCTTGTAGTTGTTTGGATCAACGTACAAAACTGTTGAGGTTGAAGACAACTGTCAAATTAGCATTTGATGATTGCCACGATGCAGGTTGTCCCAGCAGAATGCGTGATAACAAGAGAAGCAGTGCTAAGTCCCTTTCACACATCGCCTCTCAAATCTTCATCCCATTTGATGTAATGTGTGAAAGTAAAGAGGCGTAATGGGACGGAACGGGGGGTGGAAGTTGATCCGCTGCTGAATACGCCTCTGAGCCGGCAACAGAGATAAGTCACAGAGTTGGTGCGAATGGCAGTGCAGGCTTCGATTAGATGTCACTTGTGTAAAAAATGATTTCTTCTCTTTAGTGGTTATATTGTTGTGGCTGATTGGTGTATGAGCATAGAGTATTAAACAAAAGAATAACAGGTCAGAGGACAAGGGGACTCACCAGACGCAGTGTATTAAAAAAAGGAAGAGGGCGGGCAGCACCAGGTCATCACTGCCAACTGACCAGCGCCGCCGAAACATCACCATCCCAGGCATCACTGCCCTGTGGGAAAGGAGAGCAGACATCAGTTAAAACCCACTCCTTTGTCTCAACACTTAATGTTTCATCACAGCTGTTCTACAAAGTTACATTTTGCATGCTGAATTTTACCTCCTTTAAATTTGAGGACATTTTTCTCAGTTTTTTAAGTCTTAGCTTAAGTTTTAAAAATTTCAATGGGAGTGAAATTATACTGGCAAAGATTTTTTAAAAATGAATGATCCACCTCATCATCGTGTAAGGTCAGTAACTTTCAACATTCTTTGGTTTCCCACACTTGATACAGGTATGCAGGAAAGACAAAAATAGACCTCCGCTGAGGACACAAGTGAAATATAAGGACAGAGGAGTCAAAGGAGATGAGAGGTTGCTGAAAAGGTAATCAACCAAAAAGGAAAGACAAAAGTTATATGAAATTCTGAACACGATCATGCAAAAAAAAAAAAAAAAAAAAAAAAAAAAAAAAATCTTTTTTTTGTTCTTCCTTTAAAAGGAGAGATCACTGGAGTTGCCTGCAGGCTACAAAGAAATGAACTGAATAAGGCACGGGGAGAGGAAAACAGGAACACAGGCAGCCACAGAGACTCCAGTTCACAAAACCCTACTGCTTTCATTTTGGACATTTTCTCATTCTAAATAAGCTTTGTTCCCAAATAAGTCTTCAAACTATTTTTTAGCTTAACTGCAATTACAAACATCTTAGATCACATTTTTAACTCCCTGGGGAGGTGTTTTGGGCATGCCCTGCTAGTAGGAGGCCCCAGGTCAACCCAGGACACGCTGAAGGGATTAGAGCTCCACGTTGGCAAGGGAACGCCGTGGTATCCCAATGAAGAGCTGGTGGAGTTTGCTGGGTGGTTTGGTCCTCTCTTCTGGGGCTGCTACCCCCACAACCCGGACACTGATAAGAACAGGAAAACGGACCACTGGAGATAACATTTTCTATCTGCAGTAGACATCAGTCAGAGTGGTCGTAGTTTCTAGGAAGGATTTGAGTATTAAAGCTAGACTGCACTCAGAAAACATTCTATAAAAAAGTGATTTTCTGCCAAAAACTCAAGAATTATACAGCTTTTCTTATCAGGATTAGTTACCCTGACTGGATTCAATTAAACACAATTACTTAGTTTCACTGTTAAAACACTAAACATGCTGCACTGGACTGCCATTGTTCTGATTACTGTCCAATGCAGGTAAGACGCCAACTACTCATATCTATCACACAACCCCACATCAACACACTGCTCCTTATGCATTGTAATCTGAAAGAATGAATGAAACACTTGCATAATAACAGCAAGGCGCTTCATTCACCCATTCACACACACATTCACATGCTGGTGGGGATGAACTACATTGTAGCCACAGCTGCAGGCGAGGCTTGCTGAACACTGACGCCACCGGCTCCTTCAAGGAGGGTTAAGTGTCTTTTGCAAGGACACAACAGCAGCATTGTCTGGTCAGAGCCGGGATCGAACCTGCAACCCCCTGATCACCGGACGACCCACTCTACCTCCATAGCTACTGCTGCCAGTTGTAGCGTCATGAATGGCCTCTAATTTGTGACAAAGGTCACATTTTCCCAGCTGGGTCAAGCTGGGTCGAACTGTAACTTTGCCCCACAGATTACCCGCCAGGAGCCGTGATGTCTGCTGAAACACCATCTTTATCTGCTGCTGTTCCGTCCCAAGATGAAGGACACTTCAAGATTTCACAATAATAATTCTACATAATAATTTTAATAAACTCTGACTTTATTACTGTTTATTACAATCATCAAATAATCATCTTATTTCAGTATAAATGTATTTTAATTACTGAAATGACTTATTATGCTTTGGGTAATAATAATAATTATTATGATAATCAGTAATGTGTGTTCAGTAAACCAGAAGGTCATCTTGTATGGCGCGGTATAGGGGCAAAAATTAAGACTACTGCCCAGCAGCAGGAGGCTACATAAATTCTGAAGCAAACTACCGACCTGATTAATGATAAGCTGGCGCCGGTAACTGAGAGGATGGCGCTGCTTACTGAGGAATAGCACCTTTACCGGCGTTATTACTAGATACGCTAGGGACTAGCAGCCCTCGGCTGGTCATTGACTGGTTCAAACACTCCCTCTGCTGTCTATTAGCATGGATAGGCTAGCGTTAGCCTGGATGGGCTGGTGTTAGCATTGGAGAGGCTAGCCATTAGCCTGCCTAGGCATGCCACTAGCTGGATTTCCTACCCCCTTGACAGACCATTAGCATGGATAGACTGGCATTAGGATCGGAGAGGCTAGCCATTAGCATGACTCGGAGAGTAATTAGTCAGCTAGTGGCCAGCCTAGGCACGCTAATGGCTAACCTCTCCGATGCTAATGCCAGCCTATCCATGCTAATGGTCCGTTTAAGGGTAAAGTTTAACCACCTCACATGTCTTTACTTCATGACAATGAGCTTTCTGACGCTGAGAGGGCGTGTTCTGAGGTTTTGTTAAAACTAAATCTCCCACAGCTGAAAGCCAGTTCTTGAACCAAGCAGATACTCTCGTGGCGACGAGAGTCATCACAGAGGACGAGGGTCGGCCGCCCGAAGCCTCACTAAGCTATTCTGTCATGCTGATAGAATTGCTCCGAATAAACGTCTGTAACCAGCTGACACAAAACTCCTTCAGAGTTATTGATTTTGAGACGCAACTAGTTTCATCAGTTGTGTGACCCACGGAGACATCTCAGGACCGATTTGGTCACACTAAGGTCCTTCTACCAACCTCGTGCCCGGAGAACATCATCTCCACCTGACATCTCGGATCCAGAAGAGGGTCTCCTGGACTGGGTGAGGTAGACAGTTTCGACAGATGGCGTCTGTATGCGGTTATCTCTAAGAACAACTCAGTTAGCTGCAAAACCAACTTCACCACCCAGAACACGCTTCTCTCTCTGAAAGAAACCTTCTGAGATTTATTCACGCATCTAAAACCTCGCATTTCATTTTAGTTTCCATTCAGTCACAGGTTTTCTTTAAAAAATTAGTTTTAATATCAAAGCTGTTAAAATTGGTTTTAATATCAAAGCTGTTAAAAATTGTCATTTCTAAATTGTCATTTCAAATTGTCATTTTTAAAAGCATTAGTAATAAATTCTTAACTTTTTAAAACTCTGACTCTTCTTTGAAATGAAACACAGAATGGTGTATATTTTTGGTTATGGAATAAGCAAAGATTCCTTTAAACTTCTGATTCAATAAATAAACTTTTGCTATTAAAATTAATCATCTTAAATTAAACATAAATCTTCGGATTAAAATATAGACCAAGACAGTTAGTGTATGAACTTCTATCGATTGCATTAATATCCTAGATATTTGTGCATAATATAAGTTCATATGCTAATGTCCAATCTTTTCTTCAGAATCTAACAAAGCTGATAGCAAACAGCGTTAATTCTAGTATGTAGTTAACCATGCTACACAGTATACAGCAACGTTTGTAAAAGAAAATAAAAGGAATACAACAAAGAAAGAAAATAATTGAATAATAATAGAAGATGTAGATAATCATGATTTCTGTATATCCAAGAGGGCTATGCAGAGTGCAATGGCATCTGATTTGTACCCAGATAGTGGGGTTACCTAGTAGATTTTTTTATGAGAACTAAAACTAAGCAGCAGTTTTGAGACCATTTACATAGCCTGGTCATGCACTTGAAACAGACACACCTTTTACCAAGTCGATAATTCACAGTTATTCAAGACAAATTTTATTTACCTTGATTGTTATTAAAAGGGGCACGTAGGGTTTTAGTGGAAACACTTGCAGGAGCTAATTGTGTTAGCGTGTTGAGAAAATTTAATTTCAGGTGTTCTGTGCCTCTCTCTCCCTCCTTGGATGAGGGCTAGCAACTCATGTATGCAGTCAGGTCCGAGTGCAAATACACAGGCAAAAAAGCACAATGCACAGTTCAACAAAACACAAACAACAAAATCCTTGTGCAAAGTCTGGGTGACTCGTGATCGAAGTGTCTTTAAGTAAATAGCTAGGCAAATAAAACATGACCTGAAAACCACATAGCAAAAGGAAGAGACATCAAGCAGGTATGTATAATAAAAAAAATGCTAGTCTGCCAAAGAATACAAGTATGATTCAATAAACAGGAGAACTACTGAATTTAGACAGAAAATATATTATTTTTCCTGGTGAATCAACACAAACTATGTATAAATCAACATATTTAAGGTAAAATATAATGCATTAGTTCTAGTCAATAGAACGGATTTAAAAAATTTTCTTCATGCATGTTTTAACTGCCTGATTTGTTGTTCTTTTGTGAAAAACGGAAGTTATTTATGTACGACAACTTGATTTGTTAATTTCATTTTTTAAAAAACGTCTCATTTTTGAAGGTATTGCTCTGTAGTGGCTGATCCATCCATTAAAGCATTTAGGCTCTCGGACTGGAGTTATGTATCTATCAATGTTATGAGTTTTTTTTTCTTTACAGATTTCCAATAAGCCACGAGCGAAACTACACAAACACTTTAGCTGAAGTAATAACACTTACTGCCGATAGCTTCCCACAACTCAACTGATATATGTCAAGCGATACTCTAATAAACTCAGCAAATCACCAGTTAAAGGAGTTTCAGTTAAAACCTATTCTTTTTAATGAAAGACAAGCATATAAGTTGGGGGTTAACTCAGACTTAAATGGAATAAACCAATTATAGCACGTACAATTGTATAGATCTCTCTCAGTTTTATTAACTGACTTATTGAAGAGAAAATGAGTCACTCTACTAGTGGTTCATCTGTTTTGGATCCCAGCGGGTAATAAAACTTGCCATCAGCTATAATTTCCCTCTTCTTTGCAACTGCTGAGAGGAAGTAGTTACTGGCAGAACTAGTTCTGTACAGAAAAAAACAAAGCAGGCATCAAATACCAGCTTGAATGTAAAATGACGTCTGCAGCTGCAAAAAAATTAGCATTGAGTAGTGAAATGCTCTTGTGATCAGAGTTTTTACGACTGAAAATCCAGACTTTAACCACTTTCTAAGACTTGCTTTTAAAAACAACAAGGATACGTCTTTGCAGAAACTCGTTTACCATCTGGAACAATGTTAGAGAGGACAGATGCACAGAAATGGCCTAAAAAGACAGTACAGATGATAGAAAGACCAAAAGAAGTTTGTATTGTATTCTTTCAACGTAGCAACCAGCTCTGACACAATCCATCATCCATCCATCCATTGTCTGAAACCCTTGTCCATGTAGGGTCGGGGGGGGGGGGGGGGGGGGGGGGGTTGTTTCCTATCTCCAGCTGTCAATGGGCAATCAGGCAGGGTACACCCAGGACAGGGATCCAGTCCATCACAGGGCAACACAGAGACACACGGGACAAACAACCATGCACTAGGGCTGTCGCGATTGAGGAATTTCCCCTGCGGTGAGTCAGGGCAGCTCAATATTGCGATATGCGATATTATTGGACCTCGTTTTTATTTATGTACTTAGCAAATGTGTTTGTTAATTACTAAACTCATGGCAATATTTCCTTTGAAACATTGTGCTTACACATTTAAAAAATGTTAGAAAAAAAATACATGGCCATTTTTAACACTTTATTGAATGCAGATCAAAGGGCAGTAACGGCATTCTCTGACTGAACTTAAAAACAACATTCAGGAGGTTTAACTTTGAAATGCAAATTTGGCTGCAACATCTAACAGAAATAAAAAAAAGTGCCCTGCTATCTCCTCGATCAACGCAGACTTTACCTCTCAGCATGCGCTGTCGCGAGATTTAATCAAGTGCGGTAATTGCGGTGGCACGTCATGCAGTGCGGTGGGTTTCTTGATATCGCGATATATTGTTCTTGCGATTATTGTGACAGCCCTACCATGCACACACACACACACACACCCAAGGACAATTTAGACAGACCAATCAACCTACCAGTCATGTTTTTGGACTGTGGGAGGAAGCCGGAGCACCCGGAGAGAATCCACGCATGCACAGGGAGAACATGCACTCTGACACAATATGAGAGAAAATAAAACAAACGGAGAAAAAGGTCAACCCAGAGCTACCTGTAAGATCTGATGAAAAGAGGAACAGGGTATACTCTGAGCTCGTTGTTAGGATGTTAGTTCAGCTTCCAAGGGACGATTCAAAAAAGAAAAAAAAAACCATTACACGGTTTGAAACAAAGTGGGTGAGCGACATTTTCCAAAATGATTCCAAGCTGGTCGGTCGCACAACAGCCGAGAAGACAAAAGCAATAGTTACTGGATGTAAGTCAAGTTCTATGAAAATGTGCAATGTCTGTTTTTTGAGGAGAATGAGTGGAAAAATGCTGTTATCCACAAATTTATTGACAATAATGAAAAGAGTGAAGCTGCAGGAACACACAGATTGCCTTTTCTTTGTTGCTTTTGCCAGCAAAAGGAGTTCCACTTCTTCTTGTCATCCATTTGCCAAACTTTCAAATGAACTTTTACTGCAGTTATTTCTGTGGCGAAAACCATTCAATAAACATTTATAATCATGCAGCTCTCTGGTAATTAGTCCTCAAAACCAGACTGAAGTGAAACTGTGGTTGAATTCTTCATGAACATTGGAATTTCTCAATAAAGACTATGGTAGTCCAATATAGCACCCGCGTTAATCATCATGATGGCAAATCATCAATCTGCAAAGTGACGTAAACAAAATCTGGCCAATCAGTGTTGTCATCAACTAACAGCACTCACCAACAAGCAGGGTTCTAATTTCATGAACTTATTTCTCAACACACAGTCCTCACTAATAGCAGCTACCTCCTCAGGGACATTCCCATCCATCACCCTAAGGATGTTGGCCCATTAGTGATGCCGTTTGGCAACTTCTCCACACATTAGCCGATGCACTTACTTTCTTCACCAAAGTCCAATGCTAAAACATTATACTTGCGTCTACAGCCTTGTTCTTCTTAATTATTTAAAAGGGTAACAGTCTACATTCATGACAAACACATTTGTCCTCCACCAGCTCATCTACTGTCCGGAAGCTTTCAGCATATTTCCGAAAAATAACTAAATTAACTTGTTTTGTTGCAAACCCAGATTGATTTAAGCTAAACTAAGAGCAAAATGGAATACCAATTACATAAAGTCCAAAATGGTCAAAAATCAACTTGATTATAATTGATCGGTCTTAGTCTGTCATGCAGGCTGAACATGTAGATCTTTTCACCCTTTTTTTTTCAGAAACTAATGCAGGAGATAGGTGTAGGAGACCATTTTCACCACACTGTCACTTAACATTCATGGACTCAACTTTCTCGACTCACGACGGGGAAGGCCGATGTTGGTTTAGCGTCCAGGAAATAGCAAAGAATGTCTTGGCTAGCGGAAGCTAATCGTTAGCATTGGCAGCACCACAACACAGCAGAACTCCTTCAGGCTTGTGTTTTTTCGTGGAGATAAAACATTGCAGAGCAAATGGAGTCTGTGGTAGAGTTGCTTTGCTGTTAGCCAGTCAGAGGCGAGATGTCCAAATATCAGAAAACAAAACTCCAAATCCTGCCATCTGAAGCTTAACTCTGATCAGGCTCACTTCGAATTCCTGAAACGGGCGCATCAGCTTTTTGCTCCAAGACGACGACTTACAAGGCACCCATTCAAGAGAACACTGCAAATTTATTAAAAGTATGAGTAAAGTCAGCCAATAATTCTCAAGATATCATACAACCCAAGTGAAAAATGATTAATCATCTGCAAAAAATTGATAATGAAAATTCAATTGAGAAATGTTCCTAACTTCCTCAAACTTCTAAAACTCCAAGTAAACACAAAGATGTGATGCATCCTAAAAGTTGCTTAAACCTTTACAACTTAGATATTTACTAATAATGAAGTCAGTGCCTGTATCACACCCACCAGAGTTTTCTTTAGCATTACCTGTCAGAAATAAAGTCAACTCTAAGCCAAATTGTTTTTACATACTGTGACAGTTTCAAAGCAGCCTGGGT